GTGTGGATGTAAGTCTGCGCAGTCGAAAAAAAAACATTTTTGCGCATTTGATTTTCAAGTTCTTTCGTCTAAATAAAAATTGCATAAGCGCAGCGACATACCGCGGTGGCTCAGAAGCGAAATAAAAATCGCAAATGTATTGTAGTAAATTTGCCGAAAAAGCTCCTTTGGCAATTGCATAGTACACACATACATAGGCACACAGACACATGCAGGCAACACACACACTTTTTATTTTTACATATTTTTTCATTTTTATTTTTTATTAAAAGTTATATACACATGTGTGCATCTAACCACTCACTTGGACTAAATTCCACGCCATCGCTTATGCCTACTCTGTCGTAGGCCAGCACGCCAACGTTTGGCAGTTGGGGCGCAGCTTGAGGAACTGGTGGTGATGGTGCTGCTATTGCTCCATTTTGCGGTGTTGTTGCTGCTGGCGCGGCGGCTAGTGTTGCTGCTATTGCTGATGGCAGCACCGCGACCGTTGTATACTCATCCAAGTTGTCCGAAACTGCAGCACCGTTAGACGTTGTTGCTGCTGTTGCACTTCCGAGTATTGCCGCAATGGTGACAAAGCAGAAAATGTAATGATTCAGCATTTTAATTGGCCTGATTTTCGACTCTGAAAAATATTTCTTAGCAGGTTGTGGGGAAAAATATTTTTTTCCTGAAGTGAATGGTGGACCAAGTCTTATTTAAATTATTTTTTAAATATTTTTTGCACGAATTTTTGAAGAAGTTATGCACTTTCGATATTTATATAATTTTTTGATTTTTATTATTAAGAATTTCCTTTATTTAACACACCGTGTTTCACTTTTCCTTTCGAAACTATTTTTGAAACTTTTGTATTATCTCATTCAAATATTTTCTTTATTTCTTCACTTAAATCTATATTTACAGCACTTGAAAATTTTGTTGGTCGAAAAATTAAACCGTTTCCCATTTATTATTTGCACAATAATTTAAAACTTGTTTTTTTTTTTTGTTCAAAACTCCATTATCCGTTTTTCGAGTTTTCCTATTTTTCGACCAACTTGCGAACGCGACGCTTACAAATCTCGAAATGAGTCGCAAATACGTTTATTTATAGTTTTTATATAAAAATCGAAAAACTTCAAAGTTTTGTATTTTGCTTTTACCCAACTGCAGTAACAACATTGGCAAAAATAACAACAACAAATTGTCTATAAAAACAGTAACAATAGTGGCGTCAACTGCGAAAAATCCATGCTTGTAAAAAATAAAAGCAAAACAGCCGCAAAAAGCTCAAAATTCAAACATTTGAAATACCCACAACAACAAAAACAACCGTGATAGCAGTAGCAGTGGCGACGTCTGGCTTCAACATATTGAGCAATCCAACAGCCAGCCATACAGCACACATTACAGCAGCAAAAGCCAAAGTAGCGCTGAGCTGAGCGGCCTAATACAAATAATGTTGTTAAAGCTTTTTCGACTGAAAGCTTTTTGCTCTGTTTACATAGTTGGCCAGCTGCCAGCACATGTTGATGTTGTTATTGTAGTTGCTAGCTGCATTTGCATTTCAAATGTTGTTGGTTTTTTGTTTCTGTAATAGCTGCTTTTATATTAGCTTAAATTTAGCGATTATTTTTTATACCCAACGCACACATATGAGAGGAATGTAGGTTGCAGGGATATAGATGTACATCAAAATAATATTGTATTATAGTAAAATATTGTATATAGTAATAATAATACGGTGTTGCCATCTCTAATAAAAATAATAATACTAATAGAATACAGTAAGTAAACTATACCAAGAGCTAAAAAAATTTTCAATGTTGAATTAATTTTTGGTTTGTTTTTTAATTGAAAAATAATTTTATTTTTATTTTACCATATAACCTTAAATACATTAACTTAAATTCTGAAAAAAATTAATATATTTATTTTTTTTAATTCTGAAAATAATTTATTAAAAAATTATGCATTTTTTTATTTATTTCACATTTTTAGAGTTATATTTTACACTATACAAATAATTTTCAAAATTTAGCACAAATGTGTCTAACAATATTGCCACTTAATTAATAGTCAAAAGCTTAATATTTTTTATTTTTAAGACAATTTTGCTTTAGTCTTTTGATATTATTGCCTCATTTATAAAATTATTTTTTATTTCTATAGTTCTTTATATGATTTAAAAATGTATTTTTACTTTTCCGTCTTTCTCAACATCAATTGGAAAAAGCCACTTCTTAGAACCACACTGAAGCACCAAAAATCCTTACAGGGTTATACCTTTAAAATTCAACACCTGACCATCCCTGGCATTTTTATTTATATATGCTATTACAGCCACTCCTAAAGCTTATTACTACGCTTCAAAGAATAAAGCTTTGCTCAATTCAGATTCGAGATAGTTTCACAGTCCTGTAATGCATTGCACTTAAACTATTTTTCATTCTCATCACATGCAACGTGTGATTTGTATGAGCGTTTATTTACAAAAGCATATTTAAGTTGTATAAATATTGTCTATAAATGATTCAATGGATATTATTTATAGCACAATTTATCTCTTTGCTATAAAATCACATAACCATAATTCGCTTTCATATACGCCTTACATGATTTGTAGCACTTTATCTGAGAACTGCATTAATTAGGGCTTGGAAATAGTTAAATTGATTGTCGGCATATTAATATTTTTTATCATGTAACTCGTTAGTATTATAAGTGTCAATAGAGTTTTTGTAAATATAATATTTTTGATAATTTTTTTATATATGTATAATATATGTCGTATTTAGTACCACCAGAAAACATAATTAATTTTGCCTCTGACACCAGCAATGGCATTCATAGACATTCTACACGTAGCACTTGTAGACATAGCTGGCAGGTGTATTGGGTCGAAGGCTGTTACATGGCTCATGGAAGCTGGGTATGGTTTCCAAGCAGGGACATTCCAAAAAGGTGGTAAAAGGAGTCTTCTATCTAAAAGGGTAAGGTGTAATCATCTAGTCAAGTGCAAGATTGAATCTCTGTTACCAAACTTAAACTCAGTTGAGAATCTTTAACATGAACTAAAAGCCTAAATTGAAAAACATCACTTTGAAATCGCAGCTAAATTGTGGCAACTTGTGAATTCAATAATATTTTTTACATCAACGTTTCCATTTAATAAATGGACTTCGCTTACATTTAAATTAAAATATCTTCGCGAACATTTTTATAAAGATAATACACTGTTTGCATAGACTTACATCGCAAACTTCACTGAGGCGTAAATAACAAATTTTCCACTTTAGAAGTCAAAACTCGTGCATTGATGAAGGTCAAAATGGGAAATATTGCGAAAATATTAAATCTAAATTGCTAAATACTGAAGCAAGAAATACTTATTAATTTAAATTTGTCAATGAACTTTGCCACTTGTGCTCAACCAAGCACAACTTTACTGCTTTTGTACCTAAAAAGTTTAAAGTACAAAGACAAAAAGCACTGAGCGGCATTTGCAGATTTTATTGCCAATGGCAAATACGAGTACATAAAACTGAAATAATTTTTTTTTAGTATGTTTGTTACTATTCATAAGTAAATCCATAGACTATAAATTTTGCCTATACATACTTATTTATCTATGTAATAGTGTGCAAATGACAATTTTTTTTTTTCATAATCCATTTTTACTTTATTTTTTACTGAGTTTTTTAAAGATAAGTATACCTGCTCGTTTACAACCAAGTGAAAGACCATTGGTTGCCTTTAAATTAATGAACCCACTTTAATTTGTTATGAAAGAGACAAGAAGTATATATACAACACAACATGTATGTTATATGGTATATTTCTACCTGTTCGTTAATTTTATTTTCTCTAACTTCGAAATGTCTAAACAAAATGGTGGTAATAGAGAGTCCTTTAGAAAACAGCATACCTGTGTATATGAGTGCGAATATGTTTGAGCACAAAAAACTCAAAAACTTCACTCAAAATATTTGTTGATCGATGCTATAGATGGCGCTAAAGTTCAAATTTTTTCTTCTTCCTGCTACCTTCGATATGTCTAAACAAAATGGTGGTGAGAGAATGTCCTTTAGAAAACAGCACTGTTTTGTCATTTTGTCATGTGTATATGAGTGCAAATATGCCTGAGTACATACAAAATCAAAAAATTCACTCAAAATATTTGTTGAATGATACAATAGATGGCGCTGAGGTTTAAGTTTTAATAAAATCGTTATTACTAACGGATTTCATTCATATGCTAATCTTGTTTAACTAAATAATATGCTTATATGTGAATCAGTCAAAAGAGATTTTTCTGAAGAAATATAATCAAATATCGACAATCTGTCAGATTAGTAAAGCTGCGACGAAATACTCTAAATTATATTATTAGCATACGATGTACTTCACATTTGGAATATATACCCATAACAAAAAATTAAATATTCGATATAATAAGTTACGTTGGCATACAAATATCTGTTAAAGATATATTTAATTGTATTCGTATTTGCCTCTGCATAAATATTTTCGACAGATGGCGCTACAATTTAATTGTAAATTTTTCAAAACGATTTGAGTTTCTATTAGATGTTCATCGGTTTATTATGCATAGGAATATTTTAACCATGCTGGACTAATCCGCACTTTTCATTATGTCAAATTCAATAACTCTAGAGTGTCTGTAGTAAGCCGCTTAAACCGCCAATTACACTCAAGCATCATTTGCAAACACAAATTGCTAATACTTGTATGTCAAGTTCACTGACGTTAAACTGACAGTAATATGACTGCAGTGACATGTGTTTCCACAGAATAGAGAAAAATCGCTAAAGCTGCCAATTACTTACAAACATGATTTGTAAGCACAATTATAACATTTTTCATTAGCTTAATTGTAAATTATTACAAACATAAATTAACAAGCGCTAGAATTGCTTTGAAAAGTCTGTCATTGAATTTAGCTTAATGAAAACCGACCATTATCAAAGAATTTCAACTTAGCAAAAAAATCGTATTTTCAAAAGCATTGTAATACTTGTACACTTTATTTGTAAGTAGATATATAAAGAAAAACATTTCGCAATCAAATATATAAACAAATATAAATTTATTATTTTATACACTTAATACTATTTATATTTTTATTTACAATTAATAATTATAATATTTCCCTGAGTATTTTTTAATAATATTTAGTTCTTCTTAATGAATAAGTCGAACGGTATTGCGCCGAAAAATGAATTCATAACGCTCAAAAACATTGGCTCCCAAGTGCTGCGCGTCTGTGGCAACATGATTTTATAGGCTTGACGCCAGTATTGATTAACAAAGTCCAAAATAACGGCATCTGAAAGAAAAACGGTGTAATATTAAGCATATTAAAATTAAATTAAAAGATAGTATTATTAATAAAATTTTTTGCAGTGTTTTATACAAATTTATAAAATAAATTATGTCATACAAACTGGACGATCAAACGTCCGTGTGTGGAAAACTTTTTGATTTGACAAGATATTTTCATTACCTTTAGCACGTATTATTACCAAAAGCAACGGGGAATCTCCAAAGAAATTATTCAGATCTGACTACTTAAAATCAAATTCTTGTATGGAAAACTCTTTTATATGTCGAGATATCTTCACGAACGTTGGTATGGAATATTTTCCTAGATAACAGTACTATCTTCGAAGAAATCATGCAGATCGGATTATTTTAGCATATAGTTGCCGTACAAACTTACCGATCTCATCAAAATTATGTTTTTGCAGAGATACTTTTTTATTTGTGAAGCGTATTATAGCTTCGGTGTTGCCGAAGTTGACCTTGTTTCTTGTTTTCTTTTGCATTTAACTTTTTTTGTTTGTTTTGTTTAATTATTTTAACGTTTCAAATTTCAGTCAATTTTCCTGACCTTAATTTCATATACTCACTTAATGCCGGATCGGGCACAAGATTGCTGGCATAAATTTGCATATCACCGATTTCCGGTTCAAAATTGAATTTTGTCAAACGCAGATATGTGTGACCGTCGCGCTCATAAAGTTCACCTTCCGATTCAGAGCTCAAGACAAGATCGGCTAAAAATGGAGGAAAACACAATTAGTTGACGGCCATTTTTTTTTTCATACCCTTAGCAACACGCTCTAACTTTCACTTACTCATAGTCACATTGAAGTAACCCTTCGGTGTCATTTTCAATTCGTTTATCGTCATATCCGCTTTGTAGTTGCCTTCAAGGTAGAGACGCGGCAGTTGTGTAACCAATCCCATGCTCACTTTATCGCCATCCATACGGTAATCTACCTTCTGCACTTTGCTCTCGCTGATGCCAAATATACGTACGTTACGTACCTGCACACGCCCCGTTGCAAAACCGCTGCGCACTTCAATGTTGTTGCGTTCAATAATGAACGGATCCATGGGCGGTATATTCAAATCCTTGATGCCATCTTTTAGTCGTGGTGTGATTTGTAGGAAGGCGCGTTTGATGCACTCATTGATATTGATGTCACCCTGCTCGCAGGTCGGTATATCGGCAGCTAAAAATTAATAGAATAAACATTATGTTAGGCACATAGTTGTGGTGTTTAACAAGTCTGTAAATCTGTGAATGAATTGTACTGTAAATAATAAAAATATAACACATATTTAGAATTCATATACATATATATATATATATATATATATTCAATAATAACTTAGCGCCAGCCACCTGTTCTCGCTCCACTAAACACTTAGCACTTGTCTAACAAAAGACTTAAGCGACGAACCTGTTTTGTAAATGGAAACTTTTTCATTATAAAATAATAGTTATCGTTACTCAATTTTATTACATATTAGTTTCATAAATTATAACAATAACAACATCTGACTGCAATTGGCAATTGGAAACGTGGTCAGTGCGGCTGATGACACTTGTCCTTGGCACACATGCGAGTTTCTTAGTATCAGTAAGGCTTTAACGCCGTCACAGTACATATGTGTGTGTGACACAGATGGCTCACTTCTAGCAGCTGTGCAGCTAAGTACGCTTTGAAATGTGTCGTTTAGAATCTAATTGCTCAATGCATGGTCTCGTAAAAAATTTGAAATTCTAAATTAATTGTTCAAGTGACTTTTGATTTTTGCTTTTGTTGTGACGCAATTAATTTATTTAATGGTGAATATGCCATATCTTGTGTAAACATATGTCAATTAATTGATTCATTGCAAAAAAATTAAATAAAAATAAATTTCATCGAAAAAAATGTTTGAAGATATTCAAAAATTTTTAATATCTTACAATATCTGTTAAATTTTATTTTATTTTCATATATACATCTATTTCTAAAAAAAAAAATAATAATAAATAAAAAATTTTGTTTGTGATATTCTGTATGTTTTATTAAATTATTCACTTGTAACATAATAGCTATAATTTGTGTCACACTACGTTTTGCTAGCATGCGATTTTTGCACGCTAACACTGAAACTATGCATTGACGCTGTTAAACGGAACGGAACTCAAATATTCAAACTTGTATACAAATTTGTTTGTAATGTAACTGTATAGACATGCTTGCAGTTCATTAGCGCGCAAAACACATACAACTTTGAGCGCTCAGATAAATACCGGAAACTTCTTAATAGCTTGAATTTAGTTCTGAGATACAGTTTTTTAGATTTTAGAGGCAAAAACTAATTAGATTGCTTGTTTTATGTTGTCCGTTCTGTGTTTTTATAGCATTTTTTTCCTAGCTTATTTGTTATTGGTTTTTATATCAAGTGTTAATTTTTAAAGCGATTTTTTTCTCCGGATTTCAGTTACTTTGTAGTTTTTGTGGCAGAAGACCTTTTACAGAAACTTTTTTTTCGAATTAATTTTTAATTTTTTTTTGTTATTTTTAAAGCATACGATTATTTTTATCGTAAATTTTTACCTAGGATTTTAAATCTGTTCTGATTTTTTTATTTTTATAGCAACTTTTTTCGCAGCAAGAGTTGATTATAGCAACTTATTACTTACGATTCAAAATCTATTTTGAATTTTTATAATGTTTTTTGTATTGGTGTACTTATTAATTAGTTTGGTGTACTTATTAGTAAGTTTTTTTTCTCTGCATTCATTTGTATTTTTTGTAGCTAGCATTTTTACCAGCAACTTTTTACTAATGAAATAAAATCAACTCTGAATTTTTATAGCAATGATTTTTAATTGGCTTACTTTTTTCTTAGTTTTTATAGCAACTTTTTCGTTGAATTTAGATTCCTTTACGGCTTGTGTAGTTAGAGACTTTTTATATCAACATTTTCTTCCATATATAGTTTCTTCGATATTTTTATAACATAAGATAGTTTTATAGCAACTGTTTACTTATCATTTTAAATCCGCTCTGTACTTTTATAGCATTTTTTTAGTACTGATTTATTTGTTTCTTGATTTTTATAGCAAGTGCTCATTTCTATAGCACTATTATGCTGCTGATTTAGGTTTTTTGCAGCTCATATTTTATTCCAAATCTCGTTTTTTCGATATATTTTTAGCAACTTTTTCGTACAAATTTTAGACCATTATAATAATTACTTTTCTTCATTGTTAGTCTGACAATGGCGTCAGCTCTTTAATTTATCGATGTGATCTTTTGTTAAAGTAATATTATTGTATTACAGTTAACTACAGTATAATTATTTTATAGTACTATATACTATAATTTGCAGCAATTGCGTGTTTGTACAAAATAATGTTTAAATTAAATTAACATTCAAATACTAGGATGTGTTATTTTTTAATATCTTTCTGAAAATATTTTGTTATCAGTTTAAAAAAAACGTTTTTCATTATTTTAATAAAAAATTTGTTTGAACTAGCTAACATGGCTAAAATGTTGACATTAATATAATATTGTTGCTTTTGTTAACTGGTATGGTAGTGACAGAACATAGTTTTTTTTTCATTTACTGCCCAATATTTTATATAATAGTGGTAATAGGTATCGTTACAAACCCAACAAAAGTCTATTGAATCAAAATTACAGCAAATATTTTGAACAATATCGCGCCTCTCAAAAACATAATTTGCTTAAGCAAATATTACTGATTTTCTGCACATAGATCTCAATTTTTACTCCACTCTTTTTTATCTCATTTTTGCCTTCACTCTTATCGTTTAATTATTATATATGTACCTTTTAAAATGTATTATTAGTTTATGTAAGAGATTTCGAACAAAGTAGAATAACCGATCACCCTATAACGATATTACAATAAGTTACCTACACTACCATACTGCCGGTAAATGGGTAGAAACGACCCGTCATAGTTGATTGCTCAGCGAAAAGCACACTACATACAATGACAATTGCTTTTAACAATTAAATTGATTATCTCAGCTGATTTTTAGCTCTACAATGTTGTTAGCCTCTACACTGCAAAAACAAATGGATATAGATAAACCTTGCTTTTTACCGGCCTAACTTGTTTGATCTGAGCTTTGCTTGGCACACATATTTTTCTGCTTGCAATGTAATAAAGATTAGGCGAGGGTACAAAATACAAAGTACGTCTTATGTAAATGTTTTGATGTTGAGGCGTCTGACTCCTGTTGTGACAAAAGTAATAGTGAAGATGCTAGTAGACATCTCTGACAATTCCCTGAATTCAAAAACTTATCTCAATCTCAAACAAATCTCAATCCTTAATACTAAGGATGAGCACAAATTAAAGTAGATCAGGAGAGGATTGTATATACCATAACATCATCAAATTCAAAATGATTAAGCTTGTATTAAAGCATTGCACTATAATTTAATCTCACACAAACTAGGTCAGAAGCTTTCAAACCTGCTTTCCATTTACCATTGCTCAATACCTAATTAAAGAAACTCGCTGTTGGTTAACAGTGGCCAAGTTAGGATCGACGAAGAGAAAGGTTTTGCTATGTTCTTGGTGGAATTCGGAGGGATCATCATCTAAGCAGCTCATAGCTCAACTACGGTCAAGCTATTAAATCGGACATGTGTTGTCAACAATCAGACCGTCTGAAAGCAGCAATTGCTCAGAAGCGGTCAGCTTTGCCCAATAGGAGAAGAATTGTTTTCCATCAGGACAAAGTCAGGCTCGCCAAAACGCCAGAAGCATGGTTAGGAGGCTCTTGTACATCCACCTCATAGTCCGGATCTAACACCAAGTGAATACTACCAGTTTATGCTTTTTGCGAATAATTTTGCTAGTGAAAAATGCGCCACAAGGGAAGCTTGTGATAATCTACTATCCCAGTTTTTCACCAATGGGATCGAGGGTCTCTATGAGACTGACATAAAGACATTACCAAAATATGAATAAATTATTGAAAAAAACGGTGCATATTTAATCTAAATATGGTAATTGAAATCTTCAATTTATGGTAAATCCAAATTAATGCATTTATTTTGACTAGACCTTATATTAAAATTCAAGCTGCGAAAAACACAATTCACCAGTTTGAATGTTTTGTCTATACTGAGTTGGTTAGTCAGTGATCAATGGCAAAGGCAGGGTACATTTAGTTTGCAACAAAGTTTGTAGCGCCCTGAAGGCAACTTCGGAGACCCTATAAAATATATAAATGATCAAGATATAGCTTCCATAGAAACTGAACGAGCATGTCCTTGAAGGGAAAACTCTTTTATTTGTAGAGATATCTTCACGAAATTTGACTCGAATTATTGTTCAGGACAACGGTACAGTCTCCGAAATTTTTCAGATCAGATGACTATAACATATAGCTTCCATAAAAATTGATCCACCAAAATCCAATCCTTGTACAGAAAACTTTTTTATTTGACAAGATATCTTCACGAAATTTTATTCAAATTATTGTCCTAGGCTAATGCTAGCTGCTTACAAACTGGTCGGTCAAAATCAAGTTTTTCAATGGAATCTTTTGGTTTTGTAAAGTTAACGTTTTTTTTTTTTTTGTTTATAATACTTTGGAAACATGTGTGATTGTTAGAATCCATTCCAGTTAAAATATGTTGATTATTTAACTTTATGAAGAAATTCATAAAAAATTCCTAATAAGCTTCATTTAAAAACAGAGCTTTTGTCTTTTATTTCTTTCCCTCATATCAAAATCACTTTCACTTTTTTACAATTCACTCAGCGCTAAAAGGAGACTCACGCAATTCAGAGACTGGTTTGAAATCGGGCAATTGCGGCAACTCAGCTTTCAGTGTAATTTGCGCCGCACACCAGCCATTAAGGCAGACCAACAGAATTAGCATCAACGAAGCGCGCAACATTTTCAAAATTCTTGCCAAAATCACTTTCTAAACGAAATGGAAATCACTTTCTTTACACCCAACGTCTCTTCAAAGGATTTCCTTTAAGCGCCCACTATGTGCCTACGATTCACTGCTTCGTGCTGCTTGACTGCCGCAAGTAATTTTTCGCTTGCGTGTTAAATTCTATGAGAATCCGCGATCACCTCGAGACACGCGCAACAACACTGCAAATCGCTTCGAAAGCATCTAAAATTCTAAATGGCAGGCACAGTGGTTTTATTGCGAAAATGACGATACGCTATCTACTATGTGCCGAGCGCGCACACCCACTTCACCTCAGCGCCGACTTGTCGACAAACAAGTCGTAAATGAAGTAAAGAAAATCGATAAACAAAAATTTTTAAATAAAAAATCAAATTAAAATGCTCGTACTCAGTTAGAATAATGAATAACTATATTAATATTGGCTGGTCAGAGCAATAATTGGGATTGTTGAATACAATTATCAAGCTAGAGACATACATATGTATATGCTTGTATGTGTTTGTGTCGATCAGCTTTACCTACTGACTTTATTGATTTAATGTTTAACTGGTTTTTGCCAGAACAATACGTAAAATATATAGGTACATACATATACCATATAGTATTTACATATATACTATATATTTTTTTGTTTATTTTTGACTCGGCTACCTTTGTAGCTTCCAAAGCATTTGCCGGTTTGTTTGTTTATGCAAAAACCGTTTGCAGTGAGAGTGATTTTTTGAATTTACTAAAGTTTAGTTATATATACAATATATATATTTATGTATATACAGGTAATGGTAGTATCCATTGCTATACTATCCCCATAAACCTTAAAGTCTTCTCACTTTTCTTCGTACACAAAAGTGTTCCTCACCACCAGACAACTTTTTTCAGAGGTTCTGCTTGAGATCGACTGTATCTAAAATTTTTCAAAATGTATAATCGATTATAAAAATATATAAAATTTTGTAATTGTACATTTATTTTATTTATTTATTAAATAAAATTCCTCTTCGAAAAAAAATCACAAAAAAAACTTATTTTTCCGTCTGACAAACAGATATAACCCCTTAATAACAACAATTAAAGAGCGGCAGAACTAGTTAAAAGAGTGCCTCTAGGTTGATTGTGTTCAACTTTTACTCGCGAACATCTTGTAAATTTAGACAGGATGTTACAATGGAGTGCGAGCAAACTGTTACGAGCCTATAGTTTCAAATCTGATTTCGCTTTGAGCAGTTTAGCTACAGAAAGTTGAACCCTATTCATTTTTTATGCCATGTAAGCCAAGTTGGTCGTCATCCTCGCGGAGCTTGCCTACAGAATTCTGAAGGTGTAATCTTTATATGGCTTACAGCACACCTATGTTGTTTTACTATTAAGAATATGCTTTGCCAGACTCCGGTTTTGGAATTTTTCTCAGAGTAAACTAAGAAAACCATCTTTCGCATAGCTCAAGTGCAGTATTTAACAAGTTTTCGATCTCTAATCAATGAGTATATTTTTGCGAATAGACTACAAGAAAAGTTTACAACTCAACCGAAGCTCCCAAAGAAAAAAATTCGATCACTGTTTCCTTACTGCAAGAATAAATATTCGAAGTTAGACCCTGGTATTTAAAATAAATGAAAATAAACGAATGATCAAAAACATAACATAGGAGAGAGAAGTATGTTTGTAGACTTCCTAGGAGCTAGGTAAAGTTCAAGTAGACCAATCTCTCTTAGGATTAAGTAAACGGTTGCACTGATATTCTCCATTCAAGTGTATCAATTTCGTCATTTGAAAAACTTAAATCAAATAACTCAATAAATTTGAAATTAAATCTCTGCTACTTCTTTCATTATAACGCTCACTACGCTTTTATACTTCAAACGCTTATTGGGATAAGCCAGCAAATTTTATTTTAACATAAAGCACGCATAACTGACGGAAGTTCCACACTTACATACACTTACGTACATTTACAAATATTTAGTCACAGCTTTTATTTGATCATATGCTCAAAGATCTATATGTACCATGCAGGAAAATGAACAAGTAAAAACTGCCTTAATACTAGTACAATGTTTCATATAATGCACATAAATTTAAATTATTATGTTTTCTTCTTGTTGTCCCGAAAATCTTATTCAAAATTTTTTTAATTTCTAATCCCAAATACCGGATTCAAAAATTAAAAATTAATTTTCAGTCCCAATATTCATGTTAAAAATAAAAACTAAACTAACTTTATCTGCCCTTAGGAGTACTAACTTTAATTTAATAATTTTCTATATTTAATATTATTCAACAATTGTTATCCAACACTATACCTTTTCACATAACTATAGTTCTTTCTTAATACTACAGTCATTGGAAGCAAATAAACATGTTTTAGAATGTTTAAAATATTTTTAAAGATACTTTTTGTAAGACCAACTACTGGTACAAATTTTAAGAAATTCTGCCAGTCTCGCAAATCCTAACTTTATGTAACCAATTCACGTTTTCCTACTGGGTACATATACCTATAGCCTGCTTATATAAGTTTATGTTTGTATTTGCATGCTTACAAAATTCTTTCATTTTTATTGTTTGTGCTTCTCAGTTGACTTACGTTAAACAATGCTTGCTAATAAATTAATTAGATAGTTTCATTATGTTGTATTGCTTTTGTTTTTGCCTTTGCATCGAACAATCGATTTAGCAATAGTTTTGTTTTTGCTTTTGTGTGTTTTTGTCATTTCGTCACAGTGTGGCGTTCACTGACTAATTTAATTGCCGTCTAATTATGATTGCTGACATGATTTATTCTTTATAAATCCAATTTTTGTTGTTGCAAAATTTGCACAATAGTTTCTAATGATAGTCATTGTGTCTAATATTTTTTGGTAAGCTTCTAATTGGCTTCTTACATAATAGCGATTTCAAAAATATTCGCATTTGTTGAATATTTGATTGTTCGAGATCTTAGAGTGAATGAAGCGTTATAAATACTTATATAACATTTAAAGATTGCTATTTTAGAATTACAAGGTTTCCTAGAGGGATAGCTGTCAAATCAGCTGTCAATATAGATTTGACATTTATGTATACTTTAGAAAATATCATACATGCTTTTACACCAAAATGTTGTAGAGAATTATTAAGTAGCAAAACTAGCATCAAGGAACGAATTTTTAATGTCATCGAATAATATTATATCAAGAAACGGACCAATCAATTGACCACTTAAGTTAGATAATTTTTCACTTTTATACTACTTTTTGTCGGTTACGTCAAGACTATAGTTTATGCTAATATACTAGCTACGAACAGTTGAAGCCAATTGAAAAATCATTATTTGGCGCTTTATGGTCCAACTATTAAAAAATATTTCATTTGAATAGCAGTTGTATAAAATTTCAAAATTACGAACTACTACATGCCCATGCATGAATCTCCCCATTATATTGTAATTTATGCAAACAAAATGCAGCTACCGCAAATTCACTAACAAGCGATAAAAGTCAATTAACATCTAATAGCCTCAAAAGTTTACGGTCTTAAATCAGAAGTTTGAATGCAATTACTTACATTTGCGATAGCATCGAAAGTCGAAAGTACAGTGGGCTATTAAAGAATACTATTTTTATACAAAAAAAAAAAAACCAGAAAGAAGCTTAGCGAATAGCACGAGCAGCTGCGAACATGATGAAAAAAAAAACATATCATATGCTTACAACAGCAAGTGATGCAAGTGCTTCAGCAAACGATTACATTGGAAAGATAATAATACAAATTAATAAGTAAAACCAGTAAATGTTATAAGGGATACAATATATCAACGTAAATATGCCTCAATTAATAGTCATATATCTCTTATACCTATAATATTATATATTTGTGAACTCGTTTAAGCACAAGTCAACGTCAATGGAAAAATATTTAAACGTTACCTAATATCTTGTAATACTATATGCTAATTGCTTGTACTATAAGTAGACGAGATATTCTTCGTAATTGAAGTACAAAGTTCGAGTGCGTATTCATGCGTCTCAATACGTCCTAGACCTACAATATTAGTATAGTACTAAAACAGCTTCGAAGTTTTATTGATAATTAACATATAATCACATTGAAATCTAGAAAGGAGGTTTTATGAATTCCCTCAGCTATGGAGCGCAATTTAAGAAGTCGTTAGTCACTTCGAAAAATTACCTACCTGCCCAATGACTTTTGAGTTGGAACATTGGAAGCTGTGAAAAATATCCCGTCTCAACCGGCTGAAGGTGGAGCATTCGTAAAGGTAATGTTCCAGCGTCGCATCACCCTCCACACATGCTCTGCAATGCCCTGAATCCACTTTACCAATTTTTTGAAGGTGTGATCTTAGACGTAGAAGCCCTGCTGGCTGCCTTCTAATAGCCAACTAGACTGCTTTTCTAGACCACTTGGCGCCTTCTGCTATGTCGACAATTTCGATATAGAAGAAGCCCACTACTCTTCCTATTTCACTCATTAATCCGTCTGTGAATACATAGATTTTGCCATTGAAACTATCGATCACAGAACCATTGGTCCTTGTTTCTCTACTGGGGAATGCAAATTAGTATGTATTAACCGGACATCGACTATAGTCTCCAGAGTGTTTGTTGAGGTATTTTTTATTGCAATCCAAACTTTATTGCAACAGCTATTTGATACAGGTCAAAATGAAGTCATCTCAGTTATCTCATTCATGATTGTGATCTAAGTGATGAAATACTTTTAGGTTTTCGTTTAAAAAAATTGGTATTAATTGGTATGTGTTGCTAGAGTTGAGAGCATATTATTTTTATTGAGAGTATATTCAACCTTTTTCTATTTAATAGTTACTCACCATATTATATATTATTGCTGAAGAAACTTTTGGAAGTTTATATAAGCAAAGAAGGAAATTTCATGTCACTCTATTTTCGCAGTGAGCTTCTGAATCAATCTACGCGTATGTTTTAATTTTTGTATCCAAGATTAAGAAAAAACAAGCAGTAAATTAATCAATATTCCAAATTTTAAAGACCTCTAATTATATATCAGAAGTCAATCATATGTTACATAATGTATGGTACAAAGAATAAAAGTTCTATAGTACGTTTCTTATTAGTTAGTTTTTGTATCATTCTGACAATTTCAAGATCTCCCAATGTTAATTATCTCAGCTATTGATTTTGTTTTCAAACAGGTTTTCTTGCTTACGCTTTCATAAAGCTGTTGAATGATGACTCAGCAAGTTTACGTTGATAATATTTATTATTTTCACTTGGCAAATATTAAAGAAATAACATTTACAATATTTGCAACGTGAGTAAAACTTTTAAATAAACAGAAACTACTGAAATTAATATTACATATGTTTTCATTCATATTAGTAAAAAAAAATTATATTCTCTAATTACGATTTTTTCATTACTAATCATGTCAGAACATGGACTTCCTCGAACGCTGTTGTTCAAAAAATTAAAAAATCGTCGCCGAAACGTTTTATATATTGCAACAAACAATAAGAGAGATAAGAAAATCGGAAACAGATTTCGTAGAACTACAATATTTAGCATATTATTGAGAAGAGATAGCGGAATTATAGCAATAGCAGTGACCTCAAGGCGTTAAATTACTTATTGCTTCACATACTCGTAAATATTTTTGTCCAACAATTCTTTCCCTGAACTTTACATGCTAACGCGATCCCTATGGTTCTTTTTGATTTTTCTGTCGAAAAACGCAAAAAAGAAGGTCTAAGAACTATAAACTGCAGTATGGTTTTCAGAGAGTAAGAATTTTCGAAAAAATATTGCACAAAGTTTTAGCAGTGAACAGCTTAATATTTTATAACATTTTACTAAACAATTTAAAGTTCAAAATACTTTGAAAAATTAACGAAATAGTAGATGTTATTAAAGGGTTACATCCACTTGCGAAGAATCAAATTTTTGAGAATAAAAATCGATTTTTATCATAGATTCGGAGAAATTAGCGTATTTGTAAACTATTTTAAAATAAGTGTAACTTTAAACGCGTTTTGTTGAAAAGGTTTTCATAGTCTATGAAGAAAATTTCTCCTAAACTGCTGGATTGTCAGGTAATAATATTTTACTAATATTATTTTTTACTTATGGAAAAAGGACACTTGGTTCATCGTCAAGATAAAGATTCTCAGAGAGTGCTGAAAACGACGGTATATCTCGCATATGGTATATACATAGAAGCTGGACTATTATTCTATTAATGCTTCCACCAAGAATTTTCAGATTTTCTTTTTTTAATTTTATCTTAAAAGCGGGAGATGTCGAACTAAAATCGAGCAGTTCTTATATAAAAACCTAAAGTCGTGGCAGTATCCAACTTTTGTCATGTTAAACACTTAGTAAGTGCCAAAATTAGTTCATAGTACTTAGAAAAGTACACACTTTAATGATGAAGACATACAAAATGTAATCAGAAGATAGTATAAGACTAGAGTAAGATACTGACGTTGCAGATCCTGTATGTTAAAAAATTTAGGTCTTTCTGATTGCGTGGTCTAGATTACCCTGAGAACGTAACATTTTTAAGCAGGTTTGGAGTATTTTACACATTTTTGATAGAAGTTAGATACGTATACAACTAACCACTTGTGGAGCGCTTGATTTCTAGGCCAACTTGAAGTTGTAAATATCCAAAAACTCCCAGTATGTAGTTCCCTCAAGTATCTATAAAAAGCGTATATATTATTAAACAATAATTGAGTTCACTCATATGTATGTACACATAGTTGTATATATGCAGCAGCAAAAACTTCATTTTCTACCATTGTACCATTTTTCACTTCGCCTATTAATACTACATATACTTGTATTACAAAAATTAAGAAAAAGTCACGCGAATATTGGCAAGAAGTGCATGACTACCGTAAAAGTAACGAACCGTTGAATATGAACACAGTGAATATGCTTATGTATAAAAACGCATAGGAAAGACTATTGAATTTTAGTACAAATCACGGATAGTCCAAAGAATGATTTTTATTCGATTATACAACTAATATATTATATAATTTAAATGTTCGAATTACAGGTGCTTTTTTAAATTATTTTTTTTAACGATTTGTGTACAATCTAATTTTAATGTCCACGAACAATAAAGTCCTAAAAACTTTATGTGCCCACATAAGAGGTTGTAATTGTTTGTGAATAAAAAAGTGAGGCAATATGTGTAAATAATATGTAAATGATTTAGCATGCTTGATTGCTAATTAAATTTGAAGTAATTTCCTAAGCAATCAACGTGCACATACGCGGACATTAAGTGCGCCAGACAATTGTAATTGACAGCTGTCTAAGAACACTTGTAGGTATAAATCAATGATTAAATGTATATGCATGAAAAGGGGTTTGATTACAAAACAAGAAAGTACATTCCTTATGGCATAAAAAGCTATAAAAGATTTTATCTTGATTTTGATTAATCACTTTGTATGACAGCTATAGGCTATAGTGGTCCGATCTAAACAATTTTTTCGAAGATTGTAGCGTTGCCTTGAACAATAATTTAAGCCAGATTTGCTCAGGATACCTTGTCAAATAAAAAAGTTTTTATACAAGAACTTGATTTGGATCGATCAGTTTGTATGGCAACTATATGCTATACTGGTCCGATATCGATGAATCCGAAATATGTCTACTTGGCGAAAACTGACTAACTCAGCTCATCACGCTGATCATTTACATACATAAACTATGGTATATGGTCTAACATGTTTCTTTCTGGATGTCACAAAATGCGTTGCAAACCTACATTACATTATTTTCAGTGTATGAAAATTAGCGTTTGACAACTTATATCCAAATAGTGGTTTAATATTAATCACAAAAATAAAATTATATTTAATTTACATATTTACATATATGTATGAATATACCTGCATATTTTTAATCATATTATCTACTTCTAAGTTTGCATTTTGAATGAGTAGCAATTTCTAACACCCCCTCGTGACAGTGTTTCGTGTTTGTGCACACGTGACTACGATGATTTTTTAAATATGTCCAAGCACGTTTATAATTAGAATTTCTCTTTTATTAAAATCATCATTACAGTATTAAAATCATCAAGTTTTCCATAATTTAATATTCTCAATGGTCATTCTTTCCACACAAACACACACACGCAGCTACCGGTGAAAATGTTAACAAAAGACTTAAGCGCCGAACTTGCTCTTTTTCTTCATAAATTTTGCAGCAACTGCATTAATACCACTACAAAACATCTCAAAAATTGCTGTCTTTAAATTAATATTAATCAACAACAAAAACATCATATGGCACAACAGACATAAGATCATTGAGTTGTTGCAGCAACAATGGTCCCCAATAATGACGTGTTTCAGGCAAGAAAATTTGAAAGATTCGACGCCAATATTGATTGACAATATTTACAGCGAGCTCATCTGCAATAAAAATTGTTATATTTATCTCTACATTACTAAATTAACAAATAATTGCACTCACTCAATGTTGGATCGGGAAACACACCAGTGGCAGACAACTTGAAATCGCCGACTTTAGGCTCGGCATCGAATCTGAGCATGCGCACAAAACGATGGCCGTCCGCCTCATAGAAGTTACCCTCATATGTTTGGTCAATATTCACATTCACTGCAAATAATATTAAAAATTATAGCAATTAAACGAAATTAAAACTAGCATTCCTTGAATATGGCAACTCACCCAGCGACACGTTGAAGACACCTTTGGGCCGCAATTGTATATTGTTTAGTATCAATTCTGCCTTGTAATTGCCGACGATTGTGATCGCTGGCACATATGCCAGCGATTTCATTGTGACTTTATCACCGTTTATTTTCAAGTCTAGCGATTTGATTTCCATTTTCGAAAAACCATATGTGAGCCCATCACGCATTATTATACGCCCACGTACAGTGCCACTGGTATACTGAAATGTCGTGCGATTTAGTCTGTATGGATCGATTATCGGTATATTCAAATCGCGGTCACCGTTTTTAAGTCGTTGCAAGGACTTTTGTAAGAGATTTTTTACGCAGTCGTTGAACTCAGGGCTGCTTTGCTTGCAAACGGGCAGATTGCCAACTGGAAAATATATAATAGTGGAAAGTATTGTAATTAGTAAAATATTTTAAAAATTAAATGAAAATCATAGGGTCTTTCGTATCAGTTCAATAAAGTTCAGAGGGTTGATTATTGTCATGAACTCTGCTTTTTCAGCCTCGTTATGACTTCATTTTATGGTTGTTTGAACCCTGTGGCTTTTGTTTCGAATTTCCAGTTAATGGCTATGAAAACACACACATAAAACTAAGAAACGAAAATTTACACAAAAAAAAATTCAATTACATTTTAACACTCTGCAGCCAGAGTGTATATAAATGACGAACGGTAATACAAATTTCTGAGGAATATTTCTTTAAATAAATTTAACCCTTGGCTTTCAAAAAATATTACTTGATAATTACTGGTAAACAGATTTCACAGCATTAAAATATAAAAATATGTATCACTGTAAATAAGACTCATGGTATAGAAAGGCGATATCAATTCTTTTGTTACATGCTTAGACATGTATAACAAAGACCGTGGTCAAAATTAAATACCAGATCAAAATTATAAGATTTTGCAAATAGTTTAAATTTTTCGAATTTTTTGAAAAAATTTTGAAAAATTTCAATATGTATTCTGAAATGAGGAAGCCGTGGTTAAAAATTAAATACCAGCTCAAAATTATAAGATTTTGCAAATAGTTTAAATTTTTCGAATTTTTTGAAAAAATCTTTTGATCATTACCTGTATTCAACATTATAGTATTTTCTTTTATTTGTTTTTGTATTTTAAATAAGTTTTAACTAAATAAATTCTTCCAAATCACCAGACATATTTTCCAAAGCCCCTACTGGAGATCTGCTACGGTATCAAGGGACACAAACATGTAGATAATTTTTATTTATTTATTATATAGAATGCCTCTTCCAAAAAAAATAAAACACATAAAAACACATGTTTTCAGACTTGCATGTGGATATAACACCATAAAATATATTTTAGTAATCGCTATAGGGTTGAGATAATCTAAAAATGTAAACGCCACAAAATATTACTATACAATATCTTATACTACTAATAGGTAAACTGTACTCGGAAAGAAAATGATTTGGGGCACAAATATTTTCAATACGAAAAGGACCTTATCTTCACAGAAAATATTTAGAGCATATTTATTTTAATTATTTCACATTTTATCTTACAACTACAACATAATAGTACAATGAATATGAATCGCAAATTTTATCTAAACTTAACAGTGCTGATTAGGTAAATGTATATGTAAAAGCTCTAACGCACTATTTCAACGCAAATTCTGCACAGTATCTCACACATCTGCATACAGATACACACATCAACATATACAATTGCAACAACGAACTAAATACTATTCGCATTATTAACTTGCGCAGAACGAAAAGGCCTACACAATTTGCTGCGTCAATATCATAAATTCAGCTGTATATGAAATGATCTTAGAATGGCTAATTGTGTATTTGTAGGCACGTAATCAGCGCATATCAAAGGTCACACAATTGTGCGCTTGAAATGCTGCCTTCGAAGCGGTTGACCTTCATTTAAATGGCTGCTGTGATTATGACGCGCCACAGCTGTTGGTATTGTTGTTGCTGCGTGGCTTAGTGTGTACACAATAAATATGTAACCAGCAACACACGCTGACTAGAAATAAGCCGTCGTAAATGTTTACATCTGAGCATAAATGTACATACATACCTATATATACACACACACATGCGTGCAAAGAGAACACTACAGCGCGTATGAAATGTAGAACTTTTGCGTTAAAAGCTGAAATAAATTATCGCATTTGAATTTGGCTTGTATGGAGGTCGAATTATTATTTCACAATATGTAAATAAATTGAATCTGATTGTTTTTGAACAATCAGCGCAGTCGCCAGAATAGATACTAAAATTAATTTGTTTATGTGTCTTTTTTTAAAATCATGTTTTTATTTTAGACTAAATTAGTTTAATATTCTATGCTTTTATGTTCCGTGCTCTCAATAATGAAAATCAGTAAATATAAAAGCACAAAGCATATGGTGTAATAAAACAGACCATATAAAGTCAACAGCAAGAGACGTTACTCATACGACACGGTGTGCAACAAATTGGTAATTAAATAATTATGTACTTATAATTAGTTCAAATGTAAAGTTTTACAGTAATTTATAGCAGAATCAGTCTAACGACGTACGGAAATACTGACAATATTATAAATCTTGGTAGTAGTTATTCGTAGGTATATACTGTAGGGCGACTGCCCTGACGAAATGTGTATCTACTAAAATGCGGATTTGAACCCAATCCGAAAAAATTAAAAAAAAAGAAGTAAAAGCGTTAACTTTGGCTGCAGAAAAGCTATAATACCCTTCACAGCTGCGCTTCGTTTAACATAAAAGCGTATAAAAGGAAGTTTACCTTGATTTTGGCAGGTCAGTTTGTATGACAACTAAACGCTTTAGTAGTCTGCTCCAAACAAAATGTTAAGAAATTCTAACTTTGCGCTAGACAATAATCTATGCCGAATTTCGTGAAGATTTCTTGTCAAATAAAAAAGTTTTCCATACAAGAACTTGATTTTGATCGGTCAGTATGTATGACAGCTATATATTATAATAGTTCGATCCGAACAATATTTTCGAAAATTGCAGCGATGCCTCGGATAATGATCTATGCCAAATTTCGTGAAGATACCTTGCAAAAAAAAAAAATTTCCATACAAGAACTTAATATTGATTAATCCAAATGGATTAATTGCAGCTACAATCTATGCTATAGTAGTCCGAACAGAACAATGTGTTCAGAGATTATAGCTTTGCTTTGGACAATAATCTAACCCAAATTTCGAAGAAAGCTTGTGAATTATATACAATTGCATACAAGGACTTGATTTTGATCGATCAATGCATTTAAAATTTATTATGTTAGCATCTTATGCTCGCTAATAAACTATTCAACAGATTTTCTTCAATTTCATGAAATATACTCATTATACAATATATTAATTACTTTTTTACCTGTGAAATATTTCTTCGGCTTCGAAGTATCTGCTGCAACATTAGCACTCGTTGCGCTGCCGTCTGTTTTATTCTCATCAGTCGTTTTGTCAGAAATAGTTGTTAGAGGGGTGGTTGTAGGCACAGAGCTGGAGCTGCTCGATATTTCAGCAGTGCTAGCGTCCTCTAATGTAGTGCTTGTTGTTGTTGCTGATGTTTCCAACGCAGCAACAGTTGTTGTGGACTCATCTTGCGCGCACACGGCGCATAATAACAAAACGAAAACACACGCGTGGCGCAAAATTTGTCTTAAATGCATTTTTGTACTTTTATTAAACACTAAATTTGTATTATTTGATTGTTAATTGTTTTTCTCACGACTTATTGGCGAGCAGGCGCTGTGCAAATCTCAACTGCAGTTCAAACTCTTTAATATGATTTTATTGTTTAAGAAATGCACCACAAAACACTTGGTGGACGCGTCCACAACTGACCGGCTTCTGAATGCCACTGCATTGCTGCAGCTGGTTTTATGTCATGTTCCAATAAAAGCAAAATTGATTTGATTATAATTTCATGCGATTTTACTTGCAAACAAACAAAACTAACCGGCCAACTATTATACATGTATACATATCATATATATTTAGATATTTGGTTTGTTTGTGTGTGCATAAATATGTCATAGCACAATCTTAAATATCTGCATTTATAAACACGATCCGATGTTCAATTATTAGCTATACGTCCAGCATTCAGTTTGTATGCATGTAAGCGTGTTACATTCTTGTGGAACCATTTTACTTGTATATATTATTTAATGCATGTCACTTACGCACACTAATACAAATGCAATTTTTTAATATAAAAAGTGGTTTATTTGGAATAATTAAATAAGATAATTAATTGATTATATAGTATTTCCATTATTTTAAATTGTTTGTTATTGATTATTTATGTATAAAATGCTTGTTAGTTAATAATAGTGGGTTTATAATGTTTTTAATTGATGGAAAATAAGGAGGAATAGTGTGATCAGTAAAAAAATTTAGTAATAAAAAACTTTATTTCGTTTATTTATTTAGATGGTATTATGTATATGTAGGTAAATTATCATTAATAATTTTTATCAAATGGAATTTTAAATTATGTTGTATGAGAAGTAGGTGTGGTTTTCGTCTGATTTCGCCCATTGAGGTACTTAAGAGATTTGTTCTGAACGAGTTTGGTTATTGTATCTGAAATGGTTTAGGAGATATTTTAATTAAACCTATTGGAATACGAGGCCATGCCTTTTTTTCAAAATGTTTAGTACACAGATGCCCTTATCTACTTCGATCCCCTGCGCCAAATTCCATTTTTATATCTTAATTTGGAGCTTAGTTATGGCACCTTATAGGTTTTCGTTTAATGGCGTTTTTTGGGCCAGTTGTGTCATTAATTATTGAACGAGTATTATCTACCAGCTTTAAAAAAAAATCATTTATTATTCCATAATTCTTTTATTAACAACGTGTACATCCATTTTCATTAAATACATATAGTAATATATAATTAACGCTAATGCGTAATGTACTGTTAATTTTTTTATATTTTTAAGGCGTATCAATGAACAAATCAAATGGCACAGCGTCAAAATATGCATTTGCTACGTACAAAGCAATGGGTTCCCAAGTTGAGCGCGTTTCTCTCACTACAAGTTTGTAAAATGAACGCCAATGTGAATTTATAACGCTCAAGATAACTGAATCTAAAAATAAATAAGAAAAAAGTTGTTTATAACTTTTATGTATTTTGTTTTTTAAATTACATAAAAAAAATAATACAGAAACAGAAATATAATTCAAAATTATTTCAAATAAATTACTTTAGAAATTACCTTAACACCAAGAATTTTGAAAACTTAAAAAATAATAACTATTTAATTTTTATTTACTTCAGTTAATTAAAGGTAAAATTTTTTAACTAAACGAGTATACAAAATTTACTTTTTTTATTTATTTATGTTTTTAAAGGAGTTAAAAGTAGAGCAATATTTAATGATGTGTAATGAATTAGCGAAAAAAGAAAATAAAATTAATCAAATTAACGTGAAATTATTAAAATATGTTAAAACATCAAAACATATGTATATAATCTATAAAAGCTATAAGAACAAAAAAATATGTTTTCTTTATTAACCGTTTGTGAATTTTAGTATATTTCTATATAAATTTATTCTAAATAAATACTGAAATTATTAAAAACACCGGCTGCACCGAAGCTATGATACCCTTCACAGGTGCATTTTAATAGAAAACAAGAAAAAACGTTAACTTCGGTTGCGCCGAAGCTATAATACCCTTCACAAAAACAAAGGCCCCTTACAAGAACTTGATTCCGAACGTTCAATTTGTATGGCAGCTATATGATATAGTGATCTGATCTGACCAATTTCTGTGGAGAATAATTTGTTGCCCTGTTCAGGGTATAAAAATGGTATATAAAGATAATAGTAGATCATATTCTATGCCAAATTTCGTGGCAATATCTTGTCATATAAAAAAGTGTTCCATGCGAGGACCTGAGTTGGATCAATCAGTTTGTATGTCAGCTATATGCTATAGTAATTCGTTCTAAACAATTTCTTAGGAGATTGTAGCGTTACCTTGAATAATAATCTATGCCGAATTTCGCCAAATAAAACAGTTATCTCTACAGACAGACAGACGGACAGGGCTAAATCGACTCAGCTCGTTACGCTGATCACTTATATAGGTATATACTTTATAAGGTCATCGACGTTTCTTTTAGGTGTTACAAATTCGTGGCAAACTTAATATACCCTTTCAGGGTACATAAATTAAAAATAATAATCGATAAAAATTAAAAGCACTAAAATGTGAGCTTTCTTTATAAACCTTTTTAAATTTTAATATATTTCTATACAAATACTTTCTAATACCTAAATTTATATGTTTCTCATAACTATCACTAATTAATAATTTTTTTAAATAAAAATTATATAAAAGCTTTTTTCACACTTACTTAAGCCTGCATCTGGCAGTATATTGTTGGCTTCAAACTTCAAATCTCCGATTTGTGGTATAACATTAAATGACTTCAATCGCAAGTATTTATGACCATCTCGCTCCGTGAGATCACCTTCTGCCTCGATATCCAGCTGCAAATCAGCTAATAATAAACAAATGAGAAATCTTGTAAATTTGTACATTCTTGTTTCTCTCTTCTCTTTCACTTACTCAATTTGCTATTGAACTGACCCTCTGGACGCAGAGCCATACCTTCTGTCGTCAACTCTCCTTGGAAAGCGCCTTGTTTCTCAATGCTTGGCAATTTCGTAGATAATTGCAGTTTCACGTGATCGCCATACATTTCAACCTTTACATTTTCCACAGTGCTCTCACTTATGCCACGTATAATCAAATTGTGTACGTTCAAGTATCCTGATGCGAAATCGTCGCTTATTTCTACCTTATGACTTCCTATGACCAAAGGATCAAGCGGCGGTATACTTAATTCAGGAAAGCCATTCTTAAGTCGTGGTTTCATCTCTTTTAGTTTATTTTTAACGCATGTACTGATATCTAAATCAGTGTTGACGCATGTAGATATACCAGGCGCTAAAATAATAAGAAAAAGCAATAATAAGTTGTTAGCAATTAAAGAACATAAATGGTGACATTAATACATTTTAAGAATAACAACAACAACTTGGAATTGCTAATTTTAATTGTCGTTGTCAATGTTAATGACACAGGTCCTTGGCACACATGCATACATACTCGCACGTGTTTACTCGGTCTGATATCGGTTTAGTCACATCGCCAACATAATTGCTTTAGCATTGCTCTAAGCATGCTTCAAACGATATTCACTGTGTGTCATTCAGACTATAATGCCTTTGAGCTTAATCATAAAAAAAATCCGAACTTCTCAATTAATTGTTTAGATTTCTTCTGATTTTACTTTCGTTGACACCAATTTAATTAGGTTGTGACATAATTAACGAGTTTAGTGTGTTTTAGTATTGACAGCTGCTTTACAAGTTTAATTTGGATCAGTAACGAGCTTAAACTCGCAGTTTCAGTTTTTTGCTTAGAAATTGTGTACTAAATAGGAGTAGTACACTGTCTGGCCTCAATTTTTACGTGGCGTGCAAAACAAGTCAGAAAAAACAACAAACATTTTTTTAACAAATTTTTTCGGTTGTTGATTCCTCTTAAAAGTTATTCAAAAGGAAAGTAGCAAGTTATTCAAGAAAAAGTAGCATTAAGTTATTATATTTAAAAATTGCTCTTTGCCGGTGATGATCTAACCTCTAAAGTTATAATGAAGCTTACATAACATCTTTTTAACATTATTCGACGAATTTTTTATCAACAAAATTTACTTAATTGAGTCTAGACTTGTCATAAATTTAGTAAAAAATTACGGAATAGCAGAAAGAAACGACGTCGATCCTGTAAAACATGTATAAGTAAATAATGCAATGATGATGTAATGTAAATAATGATTATAATTAGCACGTCAAACTGGGTCGATTTAGCCAGTTGTGTCTGTATATACACGAACTATTCACTCAATTTTTGAGATATCGATCAGAAATTTTATACGTTCTTTTCTCAATAAGAAGCTGCTCATATATCGGTACAGCCGATATTTGTTAACTATAGTATATAGCTGTCATACAAACTAAATGATCAAAATTAAAAACTTGTATGGTAAACTTTTTTATTTGACGAGATATCTTCACGAAATTTAGCATCAATTATTTATTAAATCAATGATACGAAACATCGTTCTGAGCGGACCACTATTGCATATAGCTGCCTTAAATACAGGTCGATCAATATCGAAGATATTTTTGCACCCATTTCCTATAGATGTTTCTTTGAAGTGTATTATAGCTTGGGTGTAGCCGGATTAAACAGTTTTTTTTTGTGATCACTATTTCCAAACTTGCACGATGCTATCTCTTCTCTCTATTATCTTCCTTCATTACATTATCATTAGTTTAACGTTAAAGCTATATTAGTGGCAATAGTTCTCGACCTAATGTCTGCTTTCGTCTAACATCAATTGCATTTAATATTAAGGTGCATAAAAAAGAGAAGTTAGAAAACAACTGCTACATTTTTCATTGGAAAATAAGTGTCTCATACGTAGTAATTTTATTTATATAAATATTTTTTCTAAGTTCTACAGAAAAATTAAGTTTCTAACTTCTAAAGTGTAATTGAAGTTTTTGTCAAATAAATTTTCTTATAAAATAATCAAATTGTCTCGCATCTCTAAAAATAAATTTCATGATATTTATTTTTGCGCCATGACATTTTTGTCTCGAGCATTTTTTGTGCACATTGCCAGCTTGCAAATGCCATTTTCATGTTAATTTAATATCAATTCAAATTAACTGTAAATACCGGAAACAATTCAATTAGACCGCTAAAATTGCTTATTTTTATTAAAACCGTTTAAATTCGCATTAATTTCAGTTACATGATGTATGTTATGTATTTATGGTATATGTATACGAGTATGTATATGCATGATATTTTATGAGCAAAAAGTGTGGCAAATTTTTGAAACATTGCAATTGTTGTTTTGAAAACTGGATAATAAATGTATTCTTGTCATTACATTTAAAGTCACTATTCTTTTCCATTATTCCAATATTTTATTTAAAATTGGTACTGTGAAGCTTTAGCTTGGTGAATGTACTAAAATAACACGTTAATTAAATTCAATTCGAATGCTATTGTTAAAAATACTAGCGTGAGCAAATAAGTATTCAAAACTGGAGTTTCAAAGCTCTGAAATAAACCATTTTATTAATTGAAAAAAGTCTCATTGAGGTAGGTTTTTTTGAAGAAATACTATTCTCTACGACAATCCGCAATGTAAAAAAATGTTGCGTAAACGGTTTAAAAGTGATGGTATTTTTAATGAAAACAGACGTGTTATTTATATGGGAAATTTTTAATGCGCCCCCAAGCTTTTTGAAATTAAACTAAAAATTATTCCTTGCAGAAATGTTTTTTTCTCTGTATATAATTTCATTTTAACCCATGAATTCGATGGGTTAGTTTTTGGCTCACACTAGGGTACACCACATCGCTATGTATCTAGCTTGAAGTTTTCTGTATACATAAGGATTACATTGAAGCTTTTGCCGCAAAAGGTTCTTTCTACGTACTATCTATAATAGTTTATATATGAAGGACAATGAAAACCTGTTCGCAAAAGTTCCCCTTCTATAATCTATCGTATATAGTTCTTCGAGCTTTTAGTTGAAAATTTTGACAATCGAAATAGGACACTTTCATTGACTGTTTTGGCACTTAATTTGACTAATATTTATATGTACATAAATTATAAAGAACGCATTTCTTGACTTCCTTTTTTTCTGAATCTATATTTTATATTTTTAAATCTTGTATTTTTAAACTTAACACACTTACGTAGTTTAGTAATTGGTATAATATTGGGCAATGTTGGCATATCAACATTCAGTTGAAAACTTGCAGCGCACCAGTGATTCAAACAGGCCAGTATAACGAGTACGAACGTAATGCGCGACATTTTCTCCATATTTAACAAAACAAAATTGTTTTCAAAAATTGCACTGAAGGATGCGCGATATATCACTTAGAACTGTCTAGGTGACTTGTTAGAATTATAGGAAAGAACGCGAGTGCCGCGAAATATGCACGACAACACTTCGAATCTTTTTAAAAATATCCAGAATACAACTTGGTAGATATAGTGTTTTTGATTACAAACACAACGAACAGTTTTACAATACACGCACAGCTTATTATTATTTTCCGATATTTTACTGAAGTATATAAGATTTTTTTCCAATAAAATCGATTTTCCATGGTATGCCACATCACCCTATATTTTATTATGCGATGATTATATTTTTTTTTAATAAAGCGTTTTCTTCACGGTTATTGAAAATGCTTAAAATATTAAAAAGCGAAATAGTTTTTATAAACTTTTGACGAAAGTGATAAGATAAGGATATATGCATATGGATATATAAATATATTATACGTTTTATAAAAGAAGATAACTTGAGAGTGTTCAAGTCAAGAAGGAAGTTGTCTTCACTTGAAGTAAAGTTATTTTAACTAATAAAGCGAGATATGTAAATCCTTCAAAAATTAAAAAAAATCGCTTGAATCAACTAAAAAAATCAACTCTAAAATAATCGTGATAAGAGATATACTATATATAAGAGAGGCCCTCAACGTTTTTATAGGTCGCATCAACCAATATTATAACATTACTTTCCAGCTACGCCAACCTGGCTCTCAGGATTACTTCTTTCCTCTAAAAATCATATATTTGCTCGACAGAACAGACAATGTATTCGCAAAGCGTTAGAGAGTAGCGAATCAAACAAACCATAGCGACTGTTTACAGAGACTGGTAGCACTTATGGTTCTTTAATACATAAGCATATTCATTTCGCTTTCATTTCTGCAGATATTTTTTTGATTCTTGGGCTACAAGCAGCCACATCTTCTAAAAAAAATATACAATACGTATACATACTTACATATGTATGTTATTAAAACCAATTAATTTCTTATAGTAATGTGACATTTGAGCCATTCACAATGGTAAAGCTTGTCTGTACAATAAATTATTGTAACAATGAAGAAAGCGAGAGATATCGGTATATGCTACACTACTACTCGCTAACTTTGTTGTTGCTTTTCATAAAAAAAGAGCAGCGCTCAAAGGTAGCGAGCAGGAAATGGCAAATCGATGGCACCTAATATTTTTTTAGAATTGCAAAGGTTTTATTGTAATAGTTCACATTGTTAGATTTCGATTTTAGTATACATAGTATATACATGCATAAACTATGGAGAGTAGCGAATCTAACGAACATTGGGTATAAATCACATACATTGGCATAAATAAATAAACAGTTTTACAACTTTAAAAAAGAGTTTTGATATTGAAATCTACGAGATAACTTTTGCCTTGCTTTCACATGTAAATTCTTTCAAACTTAGCAAGCAGAGAAATTACGAATTTATGACACTTAATGTGGTTTTGTTCCATATTCCACGTTAGATTTGAGTATGCAACAAATATTAGAAAGATAATGTGAGCCGATATTATAAAGATGTTTATTTCGACACAAATTACATCCTGAGCTTTACAGATATCTAACTGAAATTTTTATTTTATTAAAAGCAGACTCCACTTCGAAAAAACTGTAGAGAGTAGCAAATCGAACGAACATTTGGTATAAGCAACAATCAGAGATATAATATTAATGGTTTTACAACTTCTATCTATATTCTATGTATCTTTTTATTGAAATGCACAAAATAACTTCCCTTTAATTTTATATTTAAGTTCTTTGACAAGAGAGGAGAACTCAAACATAGCAAGCAGAAAAGTGATATACTTGTATATATCAACACTGGTTCATGTTTGTTCCTGTAGTTGAACAGTTCGTATATGAGGTGGGAACATATTTTACTTTTCACGCATCGAAGGAGCTTGGCGCAAAACAGCAAAATTGTAAAAATTTAAGACCGTACAAATGAAAAAATAATTTTTTTGGTCCTAAAGCAGATAGATAAAGCGGTTTTTTTCCATTTGCATTCATATTTATGTTTTAATTACAATAAGTTTTTTCTAATATAAACATTTAAACCTAACTAAATGTACTTTTTATCACAAACCTATTTTATTATTTTATGTACGTTTAATATTTTAATAACACCAAGCTTAGCATATTCACAAAAATACACCATTTTTTAAATACAGTACATAAAGGTTAAACTTTAAGAAATTCCAATAAATAATTTTAATACTGTAACACAAACATAATCTTATCTAAATCTTACAATAATCTTAGAAATTTTTTAATTTGATTTCTCTAATTAAAATACTAGCTTTAACATGTAGTACAGAGTTATATATACATATATATTTGTATAATTAAGTAAACCTATTTTAGAGCTTAATACTAAGTTACCTATACTTCAAAGAGAATTCACGCATTTATTGGACTCGCATTACCCAATAAGCTTGTGATCGAGAAAGGATGAGACTTGATGCTGGTGGTAGGCCGCTTGACAGGTGGCGGCAGCATATGCACACCAACAGCTTTATTGTTCAACTTCGACGCGCTTTCTGTAGCTGAGGCTACATCATCATCAACATTCACGACATCAATCTCGGATTCGTCGTCGGCGGAAAGGTGTGTTTGTGCCATTAGCAGCTCTAATTGCTCCAGGTATGCAGTAGCGCGCAACACCTCTTCCATCATTGCCTCCTGTTGCTGTTCAAGCTCCTTACATTCCTCTTCGATAGCGATCTGTTCCAGCTTTTTGACACGACGACTCATACGGCAAGCGATGGTGTTTTTATTGCGACGCTCTTGATCCCGGGGCGACCGCTCTTTCTTCGGAAACTGACGCACCATATTCATGTGATAAGTGCAAATGCTGCGCAGCTTATCCTCGCCAATGCGTGACAATACCGCAGTGGCGTCCAATTCCTTGTCACTGTTACTGGCTATAGGACCAGCAATTATGGGCAATTCCAAGGTGCCAACTTCAGTAGGCTTCAGCACCGCTTTAATGCTGTTGACACTCACCGGGCTGACACTTTTGTTCGACAAATTTGTTTTGTTGCGCTTGTTGGCGGAGGGATTGACGGTGCTTGTGTTGGTGAAGACATTAATGACGCTGCTGCCTTTGATAAGTTTGGTGGCACTAATTCTGCTAGAACGGCTGTTGTTGCCTCGCTTTGTCAGCGTTGTGTAATTTTGTTTTGCCGAAATACCGCCGGCTTGCACATTCACAGTCTTCTGTTTCTTCTTCGGCGGTTGTGCGAGCAACGATGGCTTTAGGAGGCGTTTGAGTTGTTGGCTTGGTTGTGAGTTATTGGCTGCTACCTGTTTCTTTGGTGTTAATGCAACGCCGCTGTCCTCGCTGGGATTGGATGTGCCACATTGACCACTGGACATTAAGCGTGGCCGCTTGCTGCTTGGTGTGCTGGAGGCATTAAAGCGCGTCACAAAACCCATATATTCAGAAGAGCAATTCGAGTCGGACGAAAAGGGTGTTGAAACGCGCTCAACACCATAAAAGTGTGGATTGAGTAATAAAACGTTTGCCGGTGAGCAGCGTGCGCGATGGAGTTGCTCCAACTCTTGTAGCACATCTTCTTCACGTGGACGCTTGCCCTGATCGAACTTTTTGTGGCGATAGAGATAATCCTCGGCTTTTTCATGCATAGATAGATCCATTTTTTTCTTAAGTTATTTTTTGCACGAATTTCTTCGTAATAATTTAACACTTTTAACTTGTAATAAATTTGTGAAAAATTTCTACGAAATAATTTGGAATTTTCTTCTGGCTTTGCTTCTGCGCAGTCAGTATGTTGTCACAATGCTTAAATTCTTAGTAATGATCTAGCTGGCCCTCGACAGCACCAATTTATATGCCACAAAATGTTGCGATATCAGCACACTTGAAGGGCCGCACACATTCTTAGCTGATAACACTCGGAGCACAAACAAAAGATTTGTTTACGTTTTCGTTTTTATTTTTCAGTTATTCTTTTTCAAATATGCTTTTGCAAAACAACATTCAATCCATTGACAAATTTTGGCACAAACAAGTATTATTGTGTACTTGTTTACGTGTTCGTATGCACCTTTATGCTGTCTTAGCGGCTACGCAGCGTTAACGCCTTGCATCCTACACTGGAAGAGCCGTCGCTGCGATCCTCGCTAACATGCTAATGTTGTTTTCGTTTTAGTTGTTGTTTTGATTTGCCGTGTGTTTACATTTTTCCTGACTTTCTGCTCGAAAGTACAGCTCATATTTTAATATGTCACTATGTACAGATAGTTAGATTGAAAATAATTGAAATATCAAAAATAGTATATTTTTTTACATTATTCATAGTATTAAATAATATTAAAAATAAGTATTAGCATTTAGAACAAGTGAAAATTCTCATTTTAACTCACTTCCGATAGTCTATATACAAGTACATATTGGTAGACATGTATGTATTTACTTAATCTTTATTTTGCTTTGACGAAAATTATTTACAAGCACTTCCAGTAAAATAATCGTAATTATGACTCTTATGCATTATCGTGTAAATAATTTTAATTTAATTAAAATAAAATGTAATTAATTTCAACACGTTCTTTTGAGCTGATGACCCATATCTAACCGGCGTTACAAGCTATAGAGCTGTTATTGATGTTGTGTGCAGGTAACGGTAATGATCCTCTCAATATACAATATAATTGATTATTATAATGGCTTAATTAATATATGTAAGCGAGATAGAAGTATTACAATCTCTAGAATAATAAAGTAAAGTAAAATGTAATATAAATTAACTCTTAGTTGTGCTATAACAAACGAACTAATACATTTTAATGTTTTAAATAAATTTAATTGATTTTTGATGTAAATGTCGAATCGTATATAACTAGTATATACAAACGATAGCTATTTGTATAGTTCAAAATATATTTATCTTAAGAAACTATTACATTTACTTCCATAACTCATAACACTTATACAGAATTTAATTTGTTTTATTTCATAACAAAATATTTTATGATATATAATACCTTTAATCCTTTTTGGTTTAATTAAAAAAATTATGAACTAAGTTACAAGCGTATATAAACTGAAAAAAAAACAAAATAATTAGAGCTGACGCTTCGCTGACAGCTTTCCATATATCAGAGGGTGGACATACCTATATGTTTGTGACTACGCGATCTGAAAAAGCGTTTTTTAGGCGTCGAGATTCAAAACTGCTCAGCTACAGAAACAAAAATTTCACACGCTAAGATTTTTTATAACGTTATAATAAATTGTTACGATTTTATTTATTAACAGAAAGCAATATAGTATTTTTTATTTTGAAAAGTGAGTCAGATAAATCAAATGTGAAGGAATGACAATAAAAATCATAACATATACGGCGAAATGGTTCGTTTAGTTCGAAATTTGATCTACAAGATTATAACAGTAAGAGTCTTAACTGCCTCGAAAAACGAACCGGGATATTAAATTAAATTTCAGACAGGATTTTCACTAAGAATATTATGCCAACCATTTCCCCACGACTAGATAGTGTAAGTAGATAGGAGGTAGACTTACACCAGAATCCCATCGGATATGCTCTGATTCTAACTTGTCAGAATGGATGTGATAACTACTGTTCCATACCACAGAACCATATTCCAATATAGGTCCAACCAAAGTTGTAAAAAGAGGTTTAGTAACATACTTGTACGAATCTCTAAATTCTTTAGACCAACATTTAACAAAACTAAGAGCAGCTTAGGGTTAAGCTTAGGGTCCATTGTAACTCCCAAATCAAGATAGTTAAAAACTTGCTCTAGACTATGGTGATCAATATGAATAAAAGCTACATTTATGCGATTGTGATCTGACCTGAACAATAAATTTGGAGATTGTCGCGTCGCTTTAGAAAATAATCTATGTCAAATTTCGTGAGGACAACTTGTAAAATAAAAAGTTTTCCATACAAGAACTTCATTGCTGATTATTTATTATAAGTTTTACGAACTTCGTAGAAAACTTAACATACTCTGTTAAAAGTATATTTGGCTAATGGAATATTTTTTATTGATTATTAATTTATTTATTATTATATATTTGTTATTAGAACCGTATAAAGCGGCATAAATAAAATTCTTTAATCATAACTAATGAAGACTGGTTCAGCGACACTCGTGTGAATGATTGAAGACATATACAGGGTGCGACATTTTCGGTATTTGCACAATTTTGTCAACTACTGACGAGTTGGCATGGTTAGAAACGGTGCGAAAACCTTAATTTAGTACAATAATAAGCGATATGCAGTTAATTTTTATCCGATTGACTTCTTTACAGGTGGTTATTTGAAAACCAAATTGTACGCTAGCAATCGTCAGGAATGCCGTTTCAAAATGACCTAAATAAATTGTTGATAACCGAGTTAAAAAAAAATATTTGTTATATAAACAAAAGTGTCTACATGCCGACATTGAAGATTGTGCACCCTGTAGGTAACTAAGAAGATGGTTTGAATGGTATGTTTTTTTCGTTAAGTTCAGGTAATATTAAAATAAAGGAACTGGTTCTTGAAAGTCGTCGTTTCAACTTTACGGATACTGTAAAAACTGAAATACATCTAGCAATTATTTATCCGGAATGATCACAGCGACAAGTTTACGGGGTTTATTTTTAATTAGTATAATCAGCGTTTGTAAATAATTGAACAGAGATTGTACAATGTATATGCACTTCAACGAAAATTATTTGTGTTCATCTGACTTTGTATATTAGAGATGATTTGAATTGCGCTTATCGCCGGAAACGACAGCGTTTATTTAGCTTTTGAAAAACTAATAGACTTGAAAGGTTTACTCACTCCAACGGAGATAGTGCGTGAACACACATAAAGAAGTTTATTTGTAAGCGCATGATAAGTTTGGACTTTTGACAGCCTGTTAGATTAGCTTCGAATTTTCATCGCGCATCTAAGGGATATTTCGCTATTTCTTTGACATTGAAATTTATAGAAAGCACAATTAAGCGATAATTCCATGATAATGAAATAAATTTCTTAAATGTAAATATATGTATTTGTTAGATAATTTAGGTGATCTTGTTTAAACTACTGTAGTGGCATAAATATAATATTACTAAAATCTTAGCTTCATATAATTTCGGGTTCGTTTCGGTTAGATATGTATAAAACCGGTCCAGACGATTATTGCGTCTGACTTTTGCGTGTTAAATTTCAGTTTCTCCTACACCAAAAATAAGAAAAGATTTTTTTTTATAATAAAGTTTGGTTTTGTAGAAATTTTGGTCGTATTTATTTTATGTCTGCATGGGCAAATCAGGACCATACGTATCAAGCAAAAGCACACTTTAAGAGCTAAAAAAAAATATTCTAGTGTTTTCAATGTCTAGAATTAGAATTTGAGCATGATCCCAGAAACCCTAAAATATTCTCACTTGAAGATATTGTCCATACAATATTCTACGGTTGAAAAAATTAAAAATTTAAAAAAGAAGCGTTTAAAAAATTTTGAATTTTACTTCGGTCTTTTTTGGGCTGGCAAAATTTGATTTGATAATTTGAATGAAACTGATTGAACTGAGCGGCTACATTTTAAAAGGCTGTCATTTCAAAAATATTGGAAATATTAATTTATAATTTTAGTATGGTATTTTGAAAGGCTAAGACTATGGAAATACCACAAAATATATGAAATTCTTTAATTTTTTCAAAAGTTCACACTAGATGTGCTGTTACGCAAATCTTTTTTATATACTATTAAATAATTCATTTGAACTTCAATAGTACTAGGATATTTAGGAATCTCACCAAGGTAGTATTGCGATTGATTTCAAAACAGTTGTTTGTTCAATTCGCAACTCGCAAAACTTTGACATGTCAAAGTCAGTTAATGATTGGTTCTTAACAATCATAGTCTACGAACGGGTTTGCGTAAATCATATTTCCTTTACAGCTCAATCATAACTTGAGTTTTCCAAATATCAATTTGATCGCTCATCATTCCGACAAAAGTAGATACATACGAGTATATGCACACTACCGATTATGGTTAAATATAATATATATAATATTTTCGGTCAATACCGAATTCGCGGAAATGATTAGAAAGTAGTTATTTAGTAAATTGTATGACGCCAAAGGCCTTCAACTCTTCAAAAACAAATAAATTTCGAAAAAGAAGAGCTCTAATGTCTTATCAGACGCACAGTAGGTTTGGGGTAAATAAAGATGAATTGTAAAGACAATTTTATAAACGCATTCTTTCGCTATTTAATACACATATACACATTCACCTAAGTATGCATTTGGACCGTGCAGCAAGACCATCACTAATTGAACAATTATGTGGCATTGAATCGACACACATAAATAGAAAAGCAAATAGAAAGAAATTTGAGACTAAAAAGTAGAAACTGCAACTAAGCCGCTCGATGCCACAATGCACGGCAGGATACATACATATGTATGTAAACAAGGTGATAACATCATCGAGCAAGCTGCTGTGCAAGTGTGAGCATGTATGAATAAGAATAAGTGAGCGCTTAGTGTGGCATGCCACACTTGGCATTCAGTTGAATGGATGTTTGTGAAACGATTTGTGGCAAAATTGATCGCGCCAAAAGCAAATGCGTGTGTCAATAAATAGCCACCTGCTGTGCTGAACTGATGGCGATCGACCAGTAGCGCATTGAAAGCGTGTATTCGATAGTGTCAAACGTTCGTGAAATAATGTTATTTGTGTCGAAATGTTGAAGATGTTTAGATTAGTACAGTTAGCTCCGAAGTATGGATTATGAATTCAGAAATGGTGTTTGCGACCTTGAACCAAAGAGCGAAATGTGATAAGCAACTCGTGTGATGCTTTAAGACGCGGCAAAAAGGGAAGTGAACTTTAGTACAGCCACTTCTACTTATTATGTCGATGGTGCACTAAAGCCGAAGGTGATAGCAACCGTTCATTAGCAGGTATTTGTTTTGGTACAATCTAAAACTTTTGTCATAAAAACATCACAAAGCCATGGAAAATTGTTTTTATTAATATGACGGAATTATCCTAACCATCTGAAGGTCACACCAGATGTACATAGATAGATAGAATAGCACAGAAAAATTACGTAAAGGGTTATACCGGCAACAGGGTTGCAATGTCACGTACCGTAAGACTGTGTATAACGGCACATATTGTGCCATCTTTCGTTTTACTTTTGCAGTCATCAAATTTTCTTGTTTCAATATAACTAATACCAATTCTTTAAAAGTCGAGCTCTTTCCTGCAAAGTTTTTAACAACTAGGAAGGGTTACCATGTTGTTTTAGCATTTAGCAAGCTTGAACAGAGTTGAAACATTTTATTTCTTCTAAGTAGTAAAGCAAATAATATAAGTTTTCATGGATTTTTAAGAAGTATTTTTATTGTGTGCTCAGGAAAGTTGTATTGGATGACTGCAAAATTATGTGAGATAGTAAATGTAATTGGCATCTTAAACGAAAGGATTTCAAGAATTTTGGTTGCCATCGTTTTTGAGCTTCGCATAACGCTCGGAGTTATTCAGCTTATTATATGATCGCTCCAATTATTTCTGAAGAAGACGTCTTACTTAATTTAAATAAGTTTAAACCATTTTATAATTGCGGTCCAGATATGATACCCTCATACCTCCTCAAAAATAGTGTCAAATATATCTACTTGCCTTTGACCACGATATTTATTTCCTCTCTTAAACGAGGTATATTTCCTTCAATATGGAAACAGTCAATTATAATCCCTACATACATTGAAAACTATGGGGGTATTGCAAAACTATCATATATATATAAACTTTTTGAAGCTATCATCGCTGACTAAATAACATTTTCGATTTGTCCATTAATTTATTTTCCTCAGCATGGATTTCGTAATGGGATATCTACCCTAACAAATTGACTGACTAACCATGTATTATTGGGTTTTACAAATGTTATGTACATTGACTTTACCATAGCTTACGATAAAGAAAATCTTTCGACTCTCGTACATAAACTTGATCTTTTTGGCTTTCAGTCAAGACTTCTTTAATCGGTATCTTCTTATCTTTATAATACAACACAACGGGTGATATTTAATGATACTCTTTCAGCTTCAATTAATGTCTTCTCAGGTATTCCGCAAGGTAGTCATCTTCGTCCGATTCTGTTGTTGCAATTTAATTATTAATATAATTTTTTTCTTCTGTAGAATACCCAAAAATTTTATTATATGCCGCCAACCTAAAGCTTTTTAAATCATACACTTCAACTGAGGAAAGTTGTCTGTTGCAAACAGACTTAAATCATTTGTCATTGAATCTCAATAAATGTAAGACGATGTGCTTTTCCCGTAGATCTGTGCAACCCCCTCCTTATACAATAAAATACTATAGAGTAGAGCAAGTTTTTAACTTGTTGATTTGGGAGTCAATATGAACCCTAAGCCTAATTTTAGTCTTCATATTAATACCATAGTTTTGAAAGAAAAAGGTGCTCTTAGTTTTGTTAAATGTTGGTCTAAAGAATTTAGAGATTCGTATGTTACTAAACCTCTTTTTACATTTTTGGTTAGACCTTAAAAAACTCTTTTGCCTTTTCCTGAGGAGGAAAGTATTCACGTATGAACCAGCTATTAAATGTATGATTGAAAGTTGAACATAATTACATATAGAGAAAGATAGCGAGTACGTCCTCATTTTTAGATCTTCTATCTCTTATTTCTATTTTCTTGCTCAAAAACTTTAGGGTGGAGCGTCAATATAATTTTATGAAATGTTGCTTTTATGATATTGCGAATATTATTTTTTTCAACTATTTTCATATATACGCACATATTTATAATTTTTGTATAATTGTTTTTGTCATATTATATTGAAAGTTATTTCTTTTTAATTAATTATATTTACAGATATTTCTTAACCAAGAAGAAGGCGAACAATTTTTTCCTCCAAAATTTCTAGCCATTAAGCTGATTCAAAAAAAATCATTCCACTCTAATAGACTAGCTACAAAAATTATACTAAGGCAATGCAGTGGGAAATCTCAAGCCCTTTACCACTCCAAAATCTGCTAAAAGCCTAATTACAAAACACACATAAAGCGTTAATCTTTACAATTCTGAAGTTAATCGAATTTTTATAATCCTCCGTTATCTCGTATCTACTGTTTAACCTTTTTATGAATATTCTCGATAGCGGTGGACTTTTAAGAATTCTTTATAGTCTACCGTTAAGTAATATCCATTGTTAAGAAAGGTCCTTGTGCAACATTGAAATATTAAGAAACGTCTACCTCTTTCGGTCAACTACCTGTTCCCGTAGGCTTTGCGAGAATGGCATGTCAATACCTTTAACTACAGCTGACCGCAGCATGTGCAATAAAATATTTATATGAAGTACTGTAAAAAATATTTGACCGTTATTTTTAGACTTCTGAGAATTCAGTACCTCCTTCAACATATTTTTTTCTAAAATGTAAGATAAAATGAGAGTTATATGTAATTACTTATGGCCAGGACCGTAGAGAGTAAATCGTTTAGGATATAGAATACGGCGTTGCTGATCTATAAATTGATTGATATATATTTTTTGTTTTGAGAAAAATTTGTTTAATTTTACCATATACATACATATGTATATATTTTTTGTTAATGTTGCCGAGTATGCTGGAATACTTATATGATAAATTGATAATGAGCGAGTAAAGCATCCAAAAGAAACTTTGATGCAGATTTGAAAAAAATGTTCTTTTTAAATTCATGTTGAGAGTTAAAAAGTCTGACAACAAGAAAGGGAACCAGACTACAAAAAATTTTGCAGAGCACCGGGCCACTTAACAACGCCGGGCCCGGAAGGAATTATTCCCGATCTTCTCGCCCTCTCCTTCACTCCAAATGGCTTCGTAAAGATACAGTCACAAAGATTGCTGATACACATTTCTTTTGTTAAAATATTCATAAAAACTTGGAAAACAATAAAATTTAAATAATAATAATAACATATGTCATTCGAGTTCACTCTCGCCTACCTGCGCGTGTTGACTGAAGGACAACAAAGTGAAGAAGTCTAAGTGCTTTAAAAATTTTACAAAAGGGCTTTCCATTCTGTGCAATAAAGGATTAGCGGTTTAAAGAAGGCTTCTGAAAATTCATTAGGACTATTATTGTTATTTCAATTAAAGTTAAATTGGGTTGCTCAAATCACCTCAGAACAAAAGCAGGGAAACAGGTAAAATATAAAAATAATGTGCAGTACCTGCTAACGATGAGCAATCTCGCAACCTTTCGATAGTTCAGCTATAAAAAGTCTTTACACTCTGCCGTTCAGCGTCATTCCTTCAGATAAACTCAGCAGGAATAAGTCGTAAAATCAAAATCTCAAAAAATGATGCACATTATTAATATCCATCCAAGCACAACAGTTGCAGCCAACGGCTACAGTTCAAACGGCAGAACCATGCATTCGCAATGTTCTTCGAAATTTCTCGGAAACAATACGGTAAAGAAGTCGAAATATTGCCCTTACTTTCGTCCATGGGTCACTGAGGAAACCGAAGCTAAGTCAATCCAATCGCTGGAAGAACGGGTAACGGACACACTGCATGACAAACATTTGGAATACACAGCACATAAGGTGGAAAACTTGATCAATCCGTTGACGAACTCTAATAATGTGACAAGTATACCCGCAACAACGACCATACCGCCATCAAGTATGGCAGCAATTCAGCAATCTATGGTTAATGCTAATGCTAATGCTATTCCTATCATGCCACCATCACTCACACCACCGACCTCACCGTATGCCGAACGATTTGGAGACTTTACTATGGACATGAGACCGCTCTATACCCAAGCGTCATATGTGAATACCGCAGGGAATATGCTAGCATATCCAACAAATTATAGACCTACAAATCAATATATGTTTAATGTTTTGCACCCACAACGGCCACTGCTTATACCAGCACAGCCGGGACCTGCACATAGTGTGGTTAGTACGCTACCTTACACCTCACTACCAATGAACTCAACGGCAGGTCAATACTACCATACTAACGTCGCACCACCTTGGTCAAACGTAACGTACAGGAATAATGTGACAACACAATATATACAACAGCCTGTAGCAAATCAAGTTTATCCAACTGCAATGCAACAAAATAAGATTGATAGAATACAAGAACGTTCCTCGTCAGCACCCCCATCACCGAAACGCGCAAAGCAACTTAAACGGAAGGCAGCAGAATTGCCAAGGTCGCGGAGCTTTCCTAATAGCGCCGCACTGAACTCGCTGGCAACCCAATCAAATATGGATAACAAAACACTCTGGCCAGAAGTTCAAGTAGCCTTAACAACATCTCAACGCGACAATGAACCCAAAAAGCAAGCCAAGAACACCAAAAAACGTCAATCGAAACAAGCCGATAAGCCAAATATCTCTGACAAGGCTCCATCAAAACCACCCACCTCGACAAAAACATTATTGCCGGCGGCAGCGACTTCCAACTCCAACGCTATTAAACGAAAATCTATCGATGATCTAGCGGAACAGGTAACAGTTTCTGCAAAGAAATTAAAAATGATATCTTCGGCGTTTAAATTAGAAGATATTTTGGCATATCGCCCAAATATGGCGCGCCATCGCCCGAAGAAGGACGAATCGAAGGAGGCGCAACTTGCGCGTGAACAAAACACCATCGCTTGCCGAAAATATAGACGTATGCGAAGAATAGCAAAAATTTTGGAACAGAAAATGGTTGAAGCCGAATCAGTAAGCCATTTTGTGAACATTATATAATGACTACTTTGAGCCAGTAAATAAAACATGTAATACAGACAATTTTGAAAATTGTAATAAATATTACTTTATAAAGTTGTACTTTAAATACTGATTTTTTTTAATATGATGTAAATATGTATATATATTTATATGTAAATATGTAAATTTCTAAATGTAAAGTAATTGTAAGTGCAGCGAAAATAATAAAATCTGATAATTGTTTGGAACAAGTTTACAATAACTGAAATATTTGGATAAACTTTCGAGCTGGTGTTTGGGCAAATAAAAACACAATCATAGATTTTTTATAATCATGTGGTTTGTACAATTCCGTATCAAGATTAATTGCCAGGGTATTCCACAAAAAAGTCAGCAAAGCACATGTGCAATGGAACCTGGTCGCACATGTGAAAGTTATGGCCATGTATTTTATAATTTTAAAAGGGTTGCTCCTTCGGGTTATGCCACCAGATGACACAAGAGTGCTAAGAGAATATGAACGGAATTTAGGATATAGTCTCACTTAGTTGCATTACTATATTTTTCTCCGTGTCCGAAATAAAATAGCCAACCAATTATACTGGAATGACTACGAGGTCTGTTCAAAGGAAAAGGTGAATTTTTATTTATCGCGGTCTGTGTACATTCGATTTTCGATCTTTGTTTTTGTTTTAATCGGACACTTCTGTTCATCATGTGCTTGTATATCATGTGCTTGCATTAGGAGCCAATTTCGATGAGTAGTTCGTTTTTGACTACAGAAAAGATTAGTCACGTTTTTGTGTGCTCTTCGACTTTTGACTTTTAAAGGAAATGGATCAATGTATTAAATGTTGCGTTAAAAATGGAATAATGTGCTCCAAGACACTTAAAATGTTGACTGTGACTTTGTCTCAAAAAAGTATTTATAAGTGATACAAGCGCTTTGCAGAAGGCCGAGAAAATGTGAATGAAGATAAGCATCCTGGAAGTGCGACTATTCAATTTTCTCGAACTTTTTGGGCATGAAACATGTGGCAGCGAAGTTCATTCCACCAGTTTGTTTGCACCAGCTCACACATCAATGCTTATTCGTGATTTTTTGGATAGAACAGTAGAATTGGATTCCTACGACTTTTTACTATTCCCAAAACTGAAGAAACCAATGAAAGGAAAGCGTTTTGCCACAATTGATGAGATCAAGTCAGAATCGAAGAAAAAGCTGATGGCCATACCGAAAAGCGCATTTCAGCAGTGCTTCGAGGATTAAAAAAAAGCGTCGGCACAAGTATATTATATCCTAGGGGGATTATTTTGAAGGGAACAAAATAGATATTGATATAATAGTTTTCAAAAAAAAATTCAAACTCCACCTTTGCCTTTGAGCACACTTCGTAGATAGCACATGAACTCAACCAGAGTTGCTATATTTAATATATTAGGAGATGAGGATATAATCAGCCAGAGAATAGAAACTCGGCGCTAAGCCACATCACAGAAATCATATTCATTTACATAATACCATTAAAATATCACACATAAACGGTTTGAAATTAGCAGGAAAGTCGGAAATCGGTATATCGGGCTCTGAGAAGATCGGAACTGATTTTATGAAGATAATTCATACTCTGACCGACATATTCGGTATAAAGTCTGCTAGAATAATAAAAATCATTATATGTTGCATATGGGAGCTGGGGTAATTAATTTTCGGCAATAAATTCTAATGTATATTATATTATATTGTACGACTACTTAATTTTGGTGCGATATACTACATACCGATATAGTATAAGTCAACAGGTAGTTTGAAAATCTTTAGCCTTTTTTAAAAAAGTTCAAATTGTCAAAGTTCCAAACAACTTGACTGGAACCATCCAAGCACTTTCTGTTTCATTGTTCAACTTTTACAAGAATGAAATTGAAACACCTCGGCAGTCTTACCTTTAGCGAACTAGGAGAGATAGCCGAAAATGATATACAAATTTTTGTTAGGCAAAAAGCGCTTTGTCGATTTATGGGGTTTGGCGTTTATACTGGATCGTAAAAAAAAAAGTTGTGAAATTAATTAAAAGAAAAGAGACATGACAAATTTCACTTTACAAAATATTTTTATTGTTTGCATTATTTGCAAATTGCAAAAATATAAAATAACACAATATTTCACCCTTATTTTAAAAGTATAATCTGTTAGCAATTACTAAGGGTTAGTATATTATTTTGAAATAAAATATATAAAATATGTTTTGCTCTCTGTAGTGTTCTATATATTCATAACATTTAAACATAACCGGTGTAAAACAACAAACACAACTTAAAATATACAAATTTATAGTACATAAATGTATTTAAAAACAGTGCTTACAAACTAGATATTATATAAATTAAATTTATTTGTATTATTTTATATAAATAGAATATTACCCACAATCTCAGAGTCTCTGTTGCTTTTCCCGTTTTTTACAGCAATCTATCAATGTAGCCAAATGTTGCTTGACGTATTTCAACAAATTTCTGATACTGTATGCGTACTGAGAGAACAACAGTTCACCAGTAGGAATATCGCTCCGTAAGCATAGAGAAAGATCGATCAGTCTTTCGACTCTAGCATAGGTATGTAACGGTATGTGTACATAACAATATTCCAGCTCCTTGTTGTAAATCAGCTGTTGTGTAGAAAATGATGTTCAAGGTAAGCGTGGGTGATTCTGATTTAGCTGGTACTCACTGTCAATGGAGAACGCGGTTATAAATTACTATCGAAATTATACCACAATTCAGCTTGTTGAGCTTTCAGTACAATATTATTTACACTTCATAATAATCTTCGTAAACCCAAACTTGGAAAAGCAAGCATCTTTTCATTCGATAAAGAATTTGTATAAGGACTCAACCAACTCAACATTACTGTACTTCAACGGAATTTTTCTGATCCAATTACGTTTGAAGTTCTTTGTGGGTTATTGGCGGGAGCGCCAGAACTTAAGTCGATGATCGGTCTTCAGAATGTGGTACTGCAATACTGTTTTTCCACAAAGCGATCTGTTTAGTCAACCTTTATATGTGTAGAAACAGACTAGCTACATGGCGTGGAACCTGATTAAATATATAAGACTAAATTATGTACGTTGTCATCGGTACAGAGAATGGTTTTTATATCCCGACACTCCGCTTCTATGATTTCCACTCATCAGCAATATAGATAGTTTCACTTATCGTCTTGGATTTCATTCCTCTGTATCTTTAGAAGAAGCCTTCAGATACCATGAAACGATATGACCATGTATTCGATATGACCAAGTTCCTTACTACTGATGACTGCTGCATGGTTTTTAATGCAACCAATTGGTGACGAGAAAGAACAGGCTCTGATTTCAGAGCTCTAGGAGACTAAACCTCCAAAAGAAGTAAACGATGTTATTTCATTTGCCGTGAAGGCGCAGGTCATTTGGCATTACCCAGAGTGCACCAACGGGGAGGCGACCTGAATTACACTCCAAAAATGCTGTAATGTTCCTTCTTTCTTTCAAACAACCTATAAAAATATATAACTTAGTAAATAAACTAGATTCTCTAGTTACTTGCGGCCTTTTAACTTTTGACTGGGGTTAAGTAAAAGGACGAAAATAACCGAAGAATCAGGTTCGTAAAGTCGGCTCTCTAGCTACTTGCAGTTTCTTGAACTTATAAGTGGAAGCCGGAAATAACTGGAGAACCTCCTTTCTCTACCTAAAAAAATTAAACAAAATAAACTCTCTAGTTACTTGGAGCTTTTTGAACTTTTGGAAAAACTGGATTCTTAAAGTTGGCTCTCTAGTTGCTTGCAGCTTTTTAAACTTCCGGTAGCATTAAGTAAAAAGCCGGAAACAACCGGAGAACTTCCTTATAAAAAAAAATAAAATAAAACAAACAATAAAACAAGTATCTTTAGTTACTTGCAGCTTTTTGAACTTGTGGATAAAGTTAAGTAAAAAGCCAGAAATAACCGAAGAACCGCTTTCTTAGAACCTATCTAAAAACAAATATTTACAAAATTCTTATCGATTTTTACTATTTCAAAAGTGTAGTATTTAAACGCTTCAGTCGCCTACTCTTCCGGCAAGCGATCGTATTACGATCACGTCGTAACTGTTCCTCTACTGTGCGATGTTTTGCAGGAAACTTACGTGCCTTTTGTGGTTTGTAAGGTAAAATCTCTTCCAAATCCGCAAGAGTTAAGTTATTTCGCAAACTTGAAAATTTTCGGGGTCGCCTTAAAGATTGCTCCCTTTGATGTGGCACATTAACGTTGGTGATATTTGGCTGCATGCGAGTTGTTGTCCTACCCAAGTAATAAGCACCAGCACTTTCTTGTACAGGAGGTGCCGAATATGCTGGGATATTCGACAAAAAGTCTTTTTGTTGTTTTCGGACGGAGTTTCTATATACAACTTGCTCTGCTGGAGGAACCAGATGAGGTTGAATATATGGCAGAACACCTATTTGTTGCATTAGGACAGAATTTGCATATAAATTTTGTCCATTTGAAGGAACGAAATATGAAATAATAAATGGAAGCATTGGGATCTGTGTCTGGTATGGCTGCGCGATACTATATCTATAATTTTCCGACCTGGCTAACGTTGGATAATTACCAAAAATTTCTCCGAGAGGAGGGGTCCGATATGAAGAAGGAGAAGTTATCGGTGGGGATGCTGGCGGCATTCCAAATTTTTTTGATTGAATAGAATCTATTTCCCATGGTCTAAAGGGTTTAAACTTGCCTTGCACAGATTGCACCATTGTAAATTTATTCAACAACTCTGAAAATATTTGAAATAATTAGCAGCTCTTGATGTGCACTCTCGGATGACTGTTAAAGAAATGATTATTACTTAGCACTCTCGTCCATTTATATTCACAATATGAATGTAAACATCTGGGTGAGTACACATAGGACAATCAACCTTTAAATAGGTAAGAAGGTAACAGGTAGGCAAAGTTATTAATTTCTCTTTTGCTCTTCAATAAAAGCACTAATCTAAGTTGCGGTAAAACGCTCTCCGCAGGTAGACAAACTTAACATATAGACATACCTTTTGTTCTGCAATGAAACAAATGACCTTGAACCAATAGTTTGTGAAAAAAAGGTTATTCAATCGAATATTAATACATGTAACTTTTGTGATTGAGGAAATGATGTTAATATAAATTTTGTAGAGAATATTGATACCAAGAATAAAAAATTAAGTTTTCGATGGAAACAAGAATGCACTCTTGTATCAAGAATGCCAAAAACTTAAATTAACCAAAATTTACCTGTACTCGACGTCGTTTTTGCAAAAAATTCAGATTTTAGTACAAGCCATTAACTCGTTTCATACCCAAAACATTAACGAAATGGTGTCGAGTCCATAAGAAATGTTGACCTCCTCTGCTTTTACTCAGATGCAAAGACCTTAATGGCAGAGAATGTGGATTAGTTACATTCGCTGCATAGAACTTTTGCTTCCTTTTACTTCAGACATTTGCTTTGACAGAAAAGTTCGATGTATACTTTTGTATGAGCAGAGAATGTAAATTATAACATATAATTTATATATATATTATTTACATTCTTTGATTTTTGAATAGAATATTTTATCAGAGAACGTAAATGAATATTCATCAACATTCTCTGATTTTATCGATGAGAACTTCTTTGCCGACTTTAGATCAAAGCAATCTTCAATTAAGGAATGTACCGATAGATGTCCCTTTTGACAGTAGTTGCTGTCTTTTTAAAGCAAGCTTATAATTTATATTAAATAAAAAAATTCTTGAGTCACTAATGGGACAAAAATTAATCTAATTTTAACTTCTCGGAATTATCCTTTGGAATTGATGAGCTACAACAACAAAATTTGCATTTGCTTCAGATATTTCAATAACGGTCTTATACCTTCATATATAATAATTAATATTTAATAATCACGATATTAAGTAGGGGGAGTAGGGTTTTAAATTTTTTTTCGAATTCGTTTATTTTTTTATTATAGAATAACAAATTAACCGATTTTTTCTTGATAGTGTTCCCTAAAATTAAAAAATTAAAATTTCGAAATACCCCAGTCGTTACTTGGGCAAAGCGATTATCTAACGATATAATTTTAATTTTTTTGGTTTTAGAAGATCCAGCACCGAATTGTGGTGGACACCACAATTCAACTCTTTTCCGAGACGCTTCAAAATTATTGCTAATTTTTATATTTCGCTATAAAAATTTAACAGAATATGCTGCAAATATCATACTATAAAGTACCATTAGTTTTTAATAATAGATTTTAACTGTTTCATAACAAAATCACAAAAATGAGTCTTGTTTTACACGAATCAACCCTACTCCTGTTAAATAATTTTATTGTTATTGTAGTAATGGAATTCTTAGTCAACAACAAAAGCGTTTCGCTAAATGAATAAAGGAGCAAAAGGAATGATTAACTAACGGAAATTCGGACAAATAACAATTAAATTTATTTTAAAAAGGCGAAGAAATGAGCAAACATTAAAAACAAAAAATATTGCATTTAATTAGTGTATATTTTAATTTAAAAAAATAATTTCAATTACAAATTCTCTTCAACAACATTTTGTTTTATGTATTTCTAGATTCTTAAAACGAGAATAAGTGGCGTTGGAAGCATCCACACAAGCAAACATTTAGGTACACAATACATAAGTGACCTCAAGCAACCTCCAGGAATTCATATACAGGTATACCTAGGCACTGTATACAATAAAAATTTACCAAAAGTGCTAAATTATTGACAAGAAAACGCTAAAGACCGCAAGTAACAGCATAAAATTTAAAAAAATGTTATTTAAACTCTTAAACATGAATACACACGCACATAAAAGAATTGATATTGTGTCTTATGTGCATAAAAAGTTCGGTGCTATTGAAATAAACATAGAAAAAAAGAAAACAAAATTAGAAAAGCAAGATGGCGTAACCAATCCACCTAAACGCATTAAAGTTGAGGCTCTAAAGTTTAAGACGTCAGATATCAATAGTTCAAAAAAATATGCAATTATCGTTGGTAGAAAAACCGAACACAAAATAAAAAATAAACCGCTAGACATGCCGAAACTCTCTTCACCGTCGCCAAAACCTCAGCAACCAATGGTTGAACTAAACATTCAACGAATAGAACCACTGGGCCTTCTGAGTTAAGAAAGTACTTGGAGGATATTGTGTTTAATAAAATGTCTGATCAACTAAAATGTAAATTAATATACAAAATAACAAAATGTGAGTCAAGTATGATAAATCGACTCTTAAATAATATAAAACTTGGACCAGCCAGTAAGGAAACCGCAATCAAAAAACACGAAGGAAGATACGTTAAACCAGATTCAAAGAAAGCGATAGATAAAAGGAAAATTAATAAGATGATAACAACACGCTTGTCACCAGATATCGCAAAAGCAAAAATAGAAACTCCTTCACCAGCCGACGTCAAACGAATGCAACAGGCAGTGCAAGCTCCAACCCTTAATATACACAACAACAAATTACCCAATGCACAGGCTTTACATAAATTTCCATTTGTTGTAATACCACGTCCATCGCCATTGTTGCGTAGTAAATTGTTGGAGCACCAATTGAACAACAAACCGAAAAGCAACATGTACGCAGTGAAAAAAGTAAATCCACAGCAATATGTGGTTGTATCAACCAGGCTTAATCAGGCGCAATTAAGTTTTACAGAGTCGTAAAAAAATTACAACAAATTTAATATCTAAAAAATATATAATTAATATATATTACTATGTATTATTAGGTATGTGTGTATGTAAGTATATATGTATGTACATTTAAAAAATTAAAACTTTAATATAGAAACTATTTTAAAATTGTCGTACCTACTATTCATGTTATAAGTTAAATAAAGTGTTCCCAGAGAATGTTAATAAATATTTAATAAAAATTTAAATAAATATACAATAAAAATTTAAATAAATATATAATAAAAATTTAAATAAATATATAATTGTTTAACATTCTCAGCATCTGCGCCTTTTCTATTTATTAACATACTCTGCTTCAAACAATGTCAACAGATTTCTGTAATGTAAATGTCAAAAAAAATAAAATATACCAAAATGCGAACATTAATTTTAGCACATTTTTTTATTAATTCACTGTAGTCTCAGTTAAAGTAATTATAGTCATAAACGAGTATATAAGCAACTCTAAATAATCAAAAAGTGTAAATTTTTTAAACTAAATGAGTAAGTTTGGGTTGATCTACTTGCATTTAAAACGTCAAAATTACCGCGAAACAAATTCAAATTACTACTTTATTTTTGCCTCAAATATGTGATAAGCGTTTGAAACTTAAATGAAAGATTTTCTCTTTTTCACACATTAGAAAAGTTTTAAATATTATTCGAAACAATAGCAACTTAACTATTAAAACCTAAACGGTCGAAAACTGATGACGCTGAATTTTTTTGCGGTTTTCTTTGTATTGGAGATAATTTGTTAGAAATATTAACTTTACCGACACGCTTTGTAAGTGCCGACATCGATTTGCCTTGTGTTGTAGTGCTGCTAATATTGCTTGCACCACCCAATCGACGATGTACTGGTAATTCCTGACGCATCAGAATTTCATCTGACTTCAATCGCAAGGATTTTGCTTTGACAGGGCTAATACGTGATTTTGCATTGATATTGCTGGCAGCCTTTAAGTTGTAAGTTTTCTTTGTGGTATGCAAGATTGTGTCTATTAATGAAAAAATTTGGTCAGTTTAGTGATACAAAGCTACAAAAAGCGTTTACTTACTCAAGCCCAGTCTTGATTTTACGCCACCTGCAGCGTTGCCTGAATAAACGCCTCCGCCGTTTGACTTGTAATTTTTATCATTGGGAGATTGCTTAAATCGCGGTTCCGATGCTATTTCATGCACTTCTGCGGTCGACGCGAATTTCACAATTTTCTCACTGCTGCTTACAGTATTGGAGCTAGTAACGACATCATCCATATCAATGTCATTATCACCATACATTGAATTATTATCGTCGTCGTCACTTTCGTTTGTTTTTAATGGTACCTTCTTCACCAGTATAACCTTTTGCTTTTGTGGATGTATGCGTACAGGTGATATATTTGAAGTTACGATCTTAGATTTTACGATTGTAGAACGATTCTAAAGACAAAGTTATAAATTAACTTATTTTATTTGATATGTACAACCCTCTATTATTGAACTCACTGTTGTTTTGGAAGTGTTTTTTAATATTGGTTTAATATGTTTAGCTATGATTAAATCATTATCAGCATCTTCCTGTGATTTCCCCCCCAAACGTGAAAATATAGATGAACCAGCAACTGGTTTACTATTGTTGCCGCCGACACCAGTTACTCGTACTTGTACATTGCGTATAGTTGTTGCTTTCGCGTTACTGCTACTACTACCACTACTAATTTCGCCATCATCTGTATCGTCTTGAGCCAAATCTATAGTGGATGAAGAGTTTTTGGCTAGACGTTCAAATACATCGGAACGTTGTGTGTTTTCACGTTGTGAATATACTAAAAAGTAAATTTATGTTTTGTTAAAGTAAAAAAAATGAATCGAAGTGAATTACTTACATTTTTCCTTTTTGGCAAGTATTTCTTTGCTCCGTTTTGTGGTACCAGAAGGAAGCTTTATTTTATATTTCCCTTCATGCTCTGGTAAAACCCGTCGAGTTTGCTTTGGAAGCGGTTCACCTAAATCATCTGGAGATTTAAGATATACATGACTACTACTTGTGCTTGAAGTACTCGATGTTACTGGCACAGCTGTAAGAGATAATAATATAGTAAACAAATATTGGTAAATTCGTTTACTTACATTTTAGTCTAATCATGGTAGTCGTCGAGGGACGCTCTTGTGATAAATGAGGGTTTGCCGGTACGGCCGCAATGGGCACACACATTTCTGAATTGATAAGCACTTTTTCTCTAGCCGTTTGGTCACTTACAGTTTTTGCATGCCTAATTTATAAATTTACGTACAAATATACTCGTTTCTTACATAAACTAAGTAATATTATTTCATTTTTGAATTTTCACATTTTTTAAGGGTCGGCTTTAGAATAACGTCCCACGCTTTCGGGAATAAAATGGGTATGGGCGGATAGAGGAGATCCTCCAGATCAAGAATATATATAGATATAGCCGCGGGAAACTTATAGTTTTCGAGATATTTGGGTTTAAAGTTCAAAATTTCGACTATTTAAAGTACGCATTTTTCCCATTTCGAATGAGTTATACACTTATATTTTCCACTTTTATATCCACTAACACTTCACTAATTCGTTTGTACACATTTATTTTACATTATATAGTGCAAAAATAGTTTAATTCAATAATTAAATTATTGTTAAATTCTATTAATTCTGACAATAACAAAAGGGTTGCAAAATTTCAAATAACCAGTGTTACCTTATCGACATCTTTTGTAATTGAACTGAAAGAAATTAAAACAGATAATACCCCAAATACAGGTATCCAAAACCTAGAGAAATAAACTATTACAAAGCATTGATGTTAAGTATTATGTTATACCCTCTATGACAATATTACTTTTTTCTTGTAGAACTTCTTTTTGCGTTGGCGGCCTTCGGCCGCGCTTCAAAAAAATAACCCTGGTCGGTCCAACACCGGGGTGTATCAAAATATTTTTCGCGCAGAACTTCTTTTTGCGTTGGCGGCCTTCGGCCGCGCTTCAAACATCGGAGTGTACCAAAGTTTTTACGCGCAGAAATTCTTTTTGCGTTGTTTCCTGTATCTAGGATACAATCTCTCTGTTAATTTTATTTTTCTTCGTTTGCAAAATATATTAGTATGGCAACACTGATGTTTTGACATTCACAACCATTTTGTTATTGTCAAAATTAATAAAATTAAAGAATGATTTAAATATTGAAATAAAGCTATTTTTGCAGCATCTAATATAAAAAAAATTTCTAAAAACGAATTAGTCAAGTGTTAGTGGATATAAAAGTGAAAAATATAAGTGTATAATTCATTTTAACTCGCAAAAATACGTACTTTAAATAGTTGAAATTTTCAACTTTAAACGTAAATATCTCGAAAACTATAAGTTTCCCGCGGCTATATCTATATATATTCTTGATCTGGAGGATCTCCTCTATCCGCCCATACCCATTTTATTCCCGAAAGCGTGGGACGTTATACTAAAGTTTTCCCTTTTTTAAATTTTTAGTGTTATCAAACATACCTTAATATAGCTATTATATCGCCCATTGGTGTTATGCCCATTTCTCGCAAATATTCTTTGTTGAGGTCCATTAACATATCATTTTGTATGCGATTTTCCACAAATATGTGTGCGTAACTGGCTGCAGCTGGTGAAGGTATACCAGAGGCATTGAAGAATTTCACCCATTGTGCTTTGAATTAACAACATTAATATAATTATTTTGCATAGAAACCTTTAACATATAAATAAATAAACTAGCTGTCTACCCACATTTTAGGCCACAACACTGAATAGCTTTTTTTAACATAGTTAAAATCACACTATTTTGTTTACCCACCTGCTGCTGCGTTAGACATGTTCGTAACACTTACAAGCACATTTATTTAAAATATTAAATTGTTTAACGAGTGCACTTTTCACGGACGAAATATCAAAAGCTAAAAATAATTATTTGCTTTCTGAATGGCAGCCATTAAATGTCATTACAAATGTCACTACAAAACGTCAAGCACAATATGTTCATCAGGCTGCCATATCGGATATTTGGCGTAAAAATAATTATTTACTTACCAACAATTCTTTTTCGAAATCTTATTCAAAACTTTATATCTTAAACTGTGAATATTTCCATGAAAAAGTTCGTGTTGTTGAAGAAGTAGTGAGAGTAGCTAGTATACTCTCTAGAGTATTTACGTTCGCAAAAAACAGTATGATCACATTATTTGAAGTCTGATAGAACTAGTGGCATCTCGCCTTCGTTTTCAACTTCAACAGCTGACTTTTGTTATTGTAAATAACATTAACCTCTAAATAAATTAAGGTTTTCAGAAGTGGTTATAATAAGCCTAGATAATAAAATTTGTTTTTTCTGTGTACAAAATGATTTTAAGAAATTTTTTAGCACAAAATACTGTGCAAAAAATTAAGTATTTGTTACCAAATAAGCCTATATACACACACAAGCGACTGCTTTCGATTACCAACACATTAGCCACCAAAAATTCACTAAATATATCCAGCGAAAAAGCGCAAAAATATTTGGAAAGTCTACGCGTTGAATTCTATAACTTGCGAACTAATCCCACACCGCACACATTACCCCGTCTAAACCAATTAGATGGCGTTGTATCTGCTCTAGAGCAATATCGCTTATTAAAATCTAAACTTGCAAGCCAAGAAGACATAGAAAATGAAAAGGATGTGGAAATGCGGCAACTCCTAGAAGAAGAAAATGAAGTAGGTGTGAAGATATGCATATATATGTATTAATTTCATTGAATACCTTTCAAAACTTTCAGGTATATGGAGATATTTTACGCCAAACTGAAGACACATTACTTGATAAAATGCTTATGTTAGCCGAAGAACAAACATATAATTCATTAATATTTGAAGTTAATGCCGGAGCCGGTGGTCAAGAAGCAATGCTGTTTGCACGTGAGCTTTTTTACATGTACACAAATTTTTTTGACTATAATGGATGGTCGTATGAAATTATCGATAATGAGGAGACAGATATTGGTGGCTTACGACATGGTAATGTAATTGTACAGAATAGAGAAGCGTTTAATCAATTGCAATATGAAGCTGGCGTACATAGGGTACAACGGGTTCCTGCAACTGAAAAATCTGGTCGAATTCATACGAGTACAGCTTCTGTGACAGTAATTCCACGTCCAGACAATGTGAATGTTAATATATCTGAGAAAGATTTAAAAATTGAGACTAAAAGAGCGAGTGGTGCTGGTGGGCAGCATGTTAACACCACAGATTCAGCAGTACGAGTAGTGCACTTACCAACAGGCTTGGCAGTTGAATGCCAAACTGAACGTTCGCAAATAAAAAATCGTGAACGTGCTATACAACGATTACAAGCAAAGCTGATACAGCGAGAATTGGAAAGTAGAGAAGCAGACGAAAAACTCAGTCGCAAGGCACAGCAAGGAAATTTAAACCGTAATGAGAAAATACGTACCTACAACTTCGTACAGGATCGTATTTCAGACCATCGTATATCCAATGGCACAGTACATAATTTAAAAGAATTTTTTGATGGCGGTGAAGACTTGGAAAGGCTTATAAAACGTATCGCTGTAGAATATAGACGTGCAAAACTAGTAGAATTAATTGATAAATATGAAGCCTCTGTTATTGAAATAGAAAAAGGATTGAAGAAAAATGTGAACGAATAAATTTCTATTTAAAATACATTTAATTTGTTAAACTAAATTTTTTACTTTTTTCCGCAATAATATTTAAATTTGTTTTCAACTTATTTAGCAATATTACTCCAGTCTCCAGCAGAACCCATTTGCATCAGATGTTTCCGCACTTCTTTCTCCATTATCGCTTGTATTTCACGGCAACCGTTTAACGCCTGCTCCATTACAGCTGGTAAATTATCAAGATGGAAGCGTTGTGACATTTCCATGAACGCGATCTTATTAGATGTTGGTAAAGATGCGACTGTTAATGTGGGTCCACCGGACATCTCTTCCACGTGAGAAACATCCGTAAGGGGTATGTTATTTTTACTCAAAGATGCGGTACATGCCACAACGTATTCCTTTAGACAAATACCAGCATCCACAAGTGCAAGCGTGGCGGCATTTAGAGCAACGGCATAATTGGCACCATCCGCTTGTAACACTTCCACGTACACATCAATTTGTGAACGTGGGTATAGCTCAGTCTTTATGGCAGCCCTCAGTGCTTGCCGTAGGTAAAGTGTGATTTCTTGTGATTTACGATCCCCACGTGGTCTGTTCTTACGTTCCGCCGTAGAAAATGTCGCCATACTATATTGGCAATTTATAACCACTTCGTTAAGATCGAGTTTGTTACTTTGCGCCTGATGTGGGCCATAAACAGCGGCGAGCACTTTTGTATTGCCTTGTTCCAAATAGGCGCTACCGTCAGGTTGTTCAAATACACCAAGTTTACATTTTATACAACGGAGTTCATGAGGTCGACGACCATCTAGACGCAGGCCCTGCTCGCTTAATAACTCAAAATTAGACATTTCTTTCAAAATTTAAACTTAGTTAAAAACAGAAAACTAATTTGTTTTCGGAGTGCACGCGATAAAATATTACAGGTCAAATTTGGTTTGTTTGGTCGAATTTGCATACATATGTCAATTCAGGGTTGTATTAAAGATATTGAAAATGTTCTTGCTATATTAACATTATAAAATTTTTTTGAGATAAAAAATATTGCAAATTTATACAAATAATGCTTTTTTGACATAGAAAATTAAAAAGAGATTGAAAGTGAAACTTTAGTGTCTTAAAATTTTCTACAGCTTATTGCAATAAACGAAAATTTTTTGATCTTCGTAAAACAAAGGAAACTTGGTATCACTGGTGTAGTTTTGTGTCAAAAGTGAAGTCACGTAAAAAATGCAATGGGCGTTTAACAGTGAATAAAACGAATTATTTTCAATAAACATAAAGAAATTTAACATATTTATATTAAAAGATATTGTAGAAGTGTAGTGAATATTTGACAAAAAAATTGGTACGTGGCGCGGTGTTATAAAAATAGAAATATATTATTTTCCTTTAACCGTGGAGGAATTTCTCTACGCAATATAATCACTGTTTTGACTATATGTACATATATATGCGAGTATATTAGAACCCGCCCACCACCCAACACCAATATTTGCTTTTTACGAGCCTACGAGCGTTACAAAATTGTAATTCACAACACTAAATTTGAGACCGTCCATAGTGCCATTGGCTAACAGCGCCAATTAAAGTTAATTAAATGTAATTGTAATGTTGACGATTAGATGAAAAGAGTGCGACGCAACTTTAGGGTCTGCTCAACGGAGTTTGAGCGTTGCACATTTACACATGCATAAGTTTTGCTATCCATATTATTAATATACAAACGTATATATATGTACAAATTTATTATTATATGTATTGATGCAAGTTGAAGAAACGCAAATAAAATTTTTTGAATCGCGTTCAGCGTAAAAATGCATAAGTAATAAATTATATTTAATAATTCAAATAAATATAAATATATGGAATAATTACTTTTTTTTTTGTATTTACATTAGATTAAAACTTTTAATCACCACAAAACAAAGGTTTAAGTCTAAGGATCGCATAATAATGCCACCATTGAAGACATACTCGCCACACAACGAATTCAATGCAAATTGTCATAATGGCAATAGTACAACTGGCGAAGGTGAAAGTAATACATCGGCCGCTGCCGCAACAGCATCTTCAAACTTAAGTGATATTTGTGGTGCTGTAAGCAATGCAGGTGCACAACAACGCGCTTCACTGCCTTGTTACAGCAATGCACAGTTTCCATTCAAAGTACTAGCCAATTTAAATCAATTACGTGCAGAATCTCGTTTCTGTGACGTAGAAATTGTTGCTGGTGGCATTACATTCAATGCGCACCGGGCTGTATTAAGCGCGGCCAGCGCCTACTTTGAGGCAATGTTCCGCCCTGAACTTGGTTTGAATGAAGTGAATCAAAAGTCAGTGGTGCTACACACCATAGATGGCGAGATCTTAAGCATTCTACTGGATTTTATATATACAGGACGATGTGAAATAACACAGGTGTGTAAAAGAAATTAAATTAAATTTATAAATAAATAATTAGCACTTTTTGTGTATTCTCTTTATTGAAATATTCGATATTTTTTATTTGCAGTCTAATGTTCAAGAGCTGTTAGCTGCAGCTGATATGCTACAGTTGCCGGAAGTTGTAGACGGCTGCTGCGACTTTTTATGCCGCGAATTACATGCTACCAATGCATTGGGCATTCTACGCTTTGCAGAAGCTCATAATTGTGAGACTTTAAAGAAAAGTGCGTTGAACTTTGTCCACTCAAACTTTCCGGCGGTAAGTGGAATTACATTATGTGTTTATGTTATGTCTGGTTGCTAACATACTAATTACTATTAATTTTATCGTATAAAAAAATATATTTAAGAAAAAAAATGAAAAAAAAACAATTGCACCTAATTTGTTTCCGGCCGGGTTCGAACCGGCGACCTTGTGCGTGTGAAGCACACGTGATAACCACTACACTACGGAAACTGTTATAATTTATTTGACATTTAACACATTTATCTCTTCAGTACTATTGTATAAAGAAAATTTATTTTTTTATTAACTAATATTAATCTGTTGTTTTGGTTTCAAATATATATAAATTGCTATTGGTTATGTTTTCAGCATCATTAGTGAAAATTAATTTAAAATTATCCTTATTAACCTTTTGACACACAGATAACGCTCGAAGATGAATTTTTAGACACACCACAAACTCTACTCGCTCAGCTGCTTACTTCCGAGCAGTTGCGTGTCGATTCAGAATCTCAAGTATTCCAAGCTGCATTGCGTTGGATAAAACATGATGTCACTCAACGTCGTTGCTACGTCTTTGACACGCTATCACATGTACGCTTAGCACTTGTACCCGTTAAAGTAATCGATCAGGCATTGAAGGATTGCCGGGATATGTCAGTAAAGATTGCCTTACGTTCTATTTGTCGCGATATAGCCTCGAAGCGTGGCCAATTAGTGCCACTACGTGTCTGTCCGCGTCAACAAGCTAAAAAGAACATCTATATTATAGGTGGTTCGCGGCGTGAGTCACAGCGTGACTGGACACCATCCGATTGTATTTTTGAAACAGTCGCAAAATTCGATATCTTTCGGCGTGAATGGTCCGAAACGGCACCAATGGAAATCGGACGTATTCTACCTGGTGTAGCGGCATTAAATGGGAAAATATATGTCATAGGTGGCGAACGTGGTTCTCAAATTCTAGCTAATGGTGAAGTATATGATCCACAAACTGATGTATGGACACCGATAGCACCAATGATTGTGCCACGCTGTGAGTTTGGCCTGTGCACCTTCGGTGGCACACTGTTGGCGGTGGGCGGTTGGTTAGGTGACGATATAGGCGGTTCAATTGAGTGCTATGATCCCGAAAAAAATGCCTGGAGCAAGTTGGGCGATTTGCCAGAACCGCGTTTCAGTATGGGTGTAGTCAGTTTTGAAGGGCTTATTTATATAGTTGGTGGCTGCACAACGTCTAGTCGTCATTTGCCGGATTTAATTAGGTGCGTATATTTCAATTACTTTTCTTGTTTGTAACTTAGTTTTTTTTATGATTTTTTTTTTTTTTTTAACTTTAGTTTCAATCCCATAACTCTCGATTGGCAACCAATGGCACGCATGCGCACCGCCCGCTGCCAAATGGGTGTCGCCGTGCTAAATCGTCATCTCTATGTTGTGGGCGGCAATAGTAGTTCACAGGATGTGCTGAGCACAGTTGAGCGCTATAGTTTCGACGATAATAAATGGGAGAGTGTGTGCTCGATGTCCGTACCGCGTGCTATACCCGCTGTAGCTGCAGCTGATGGCCTACTCTATGTGGCTGGCGGCGATCAGGTTAGTTAACGTGCTTTTCTTTAAGTTCTTAGTATTAATTAGTGTTCTAAATGTTTTAGCCATGCGAGGATAACTTCTATCGTGCTCATATCACTATCAACGCCGTGGAAGCATACGATCCCCTGACTGACACTTGGAAAAATTGCCCCGATTTGCCTGTTGGGCGCTCGGAGGCTGGCGCTGTCGTTGTTTAACGCATATTTATGCATAACAACGTGACACTTTTGGGCAATAACAACTGCTGCGTTTATATCATTGTGCGTTTAGTAAAAACTATGAAGTGTTATACAAAACGTATGCGATAAATTTAATATACGATAGATAGGGTATGCATTTGTATTATATGTATGTATTTTCTGATTTCATGATGTTATGATGATTTTTTAAAACATTTTTACGTCTACATATAAAATTAAAATTAAGATTTCGCATTATACCATATAAGCCACAACTATTCCTGCCCTCTTATTTAAAAAATATTATTTTTATATGTTATATTTGTATATTAGAGTGCAATATTGGGACACCCTGCAAATTACAATTTGAATAAAATTTCAGGTTTGCAAATTTTTGAACTCAATAATTTTGCATTAAAATTAGATGTTTAATACTAATTTAAACTTTAATCTCCAATTTGGATTAAAAATCAGATTTCAATTTTTAATCCCAAAATCTGAATTGAATTTTATTAAAAAAAACAATATTTTGGGATTAAAAATTATATATATATTATATATAAATTATAAATTAAAAACTTTTAATTTTTATTTCTGATTATGAGATTTAAAGTTAAATATTTAATTAACTCAGGATTAAGAATTCAAAATTTTGAAAAAAAATGTTTAATTTAAAAGTGGAGTAACCAATAAAAAAATTGTTTTTCAAATTAAAAGCTGGTATGAAATGGAAATATTTCTAAGTGAAACTCTGAAATTAAATGCAGTTTAATTCAAATAAGACAAAAACTAAACTACCATATGTTTATATTTTATTAAAAATAAGCTTTTATTTTTAAAATATAACCAAACCGTTGTACACAAACGCGAAAAAATGTAAATTAAAAAAAAATGTATATTTTTAATTTTTGATTCTGCTTGAGATTAAAATATATTTTTTTTTTATTCAATCCGGTATGTGCGATTAAAAATAAAATTTTCACCGATTTTTGTGCTAATTTTATTTTTTCATTCCGGTATTTGGATTTAAAAATTACAAATACCGTTTTAATCGACTTTTAAAAAATCAATTTTTATCGGATTTTTGTGATAATTTTATTTTTTCATTCCGGTATTTGGGATTCAAAATTAGAAGTTAAAGATATATTTTAAATGGATTTGTAGGGTTAAATATTATATTTTTCATTCCGGTAATTGGGGATACATTTTTTTTGTGCCGGTATTTCGGATTAAAAATTTGTTTACTTTTCGATATTTGGAATTCGTATTTTAAAAGTTATATTTAATTAAGATGTTTGGTATTGCAAAATAAAAAAAAAAAATTCAACTGTTAAGCTAATTATTTTTTTATGCATTATTTGCAATCCTGAAATTTAAAATTTAAACGTCAACTATAAAGTTAATATTAGCAAAATCTGTTGAAAGTGTCTAATATGGCACATAAACTTTAGTACACACCTAAATGTTACCAAAGCGATCAATATTTTATTTAATGTTTTGTAGAACTTTTGAGCGCCAAGACTGTTGAAAAGTTCTTTCAAGTATGTATTATTCAAAACCTTGCAGCATTTTCTAAAATGGAGTAAACAAATAGGCTTCCAACTGCAATTGTTAACAAAAGCTAAATGAGATTGTATAAATAAATACATACCTACATGCATATGTATGTTAAATTCAGTAAATAAAATCGAAATTCATCGTATTCACAAAAACAAAAAAATTTAAAAAGACTACAAAGCTAATTTAAAACGCTATAATATTAAAATGTATAAACTTACATACATATAACGGTGTCTTTTCCATAATCAAACACAGTAAATGTATGTATCCTGTAGTGCGTATTTAAAATACCGTTAACACTGTCTATAATAATTGCAAATTCAAAATTAACTGTGAATATGTTGTAACTAACAATTGTAACGAATTGTATTAAAAAAGCTTTTATTATACTAAAATCGAAGGAGATTATGTGACACGTCTAATTTATAATTGAATTAATGTGTATTTTTTTTATAAAAGCTGCAATTTATGCTGTTAATTTTCGCTTTCAGAAACCTTAAAACTGAGGAAAATCAAATTTAAATATATACACATATGTATATATAAAGTGAACTTTCCACGTTAACGCATTGCTAAAAAAAAAACAAAAAAAAAACAACCTTTTTATTGGACGCAGGTATAACAGTACTATTGATGTTTTCACTTTATGAACTATAAAACTGCGCTGCTAGTTGAATATATGAGATAATCGCAGAATTATTGTGTAATTGTTATTTTTTAAGTTTGTGTGAAATCGATCTGATCGTTCTAAAATAAAAATAAATAAATAAATCAAACTCTTGCGAAGATAACAAATAATATTATGCCACATAAAATGTTGTATTAAATGACTAAATAGATTACAGCCATAAGTATTAACATTATCACTAGTTATAAGAAAGAGCAAATAAAAAATAAAATAAATATGTACAAAAACTGTGTATGTTCTTCATAAAAAAATATCACGATCTGAACAATGCGAAACGTTGCTTTGGAAAATAGTCCATGCCAAATTTCTTGAAGACAGCTTGTCAAATGCAATAGTTTTCGATACAAGCACTTGACTCCGATTGTTCAGTTTGTATGGCAGCTAGACGCTGTAGTAATCCGATCTGCACACTTTCATCGGAGATTACACCAATTAGACAATAATCCATGCCAAATTTCGTAAAGATCTGTATATGCCATAGTGGTCCGAAAGCGGCGGATACGGTAAATAAGTTGCTCATTTACCGTAGCCGCCGCTTTCGGGTAGAAAAGTACGTGTGCAAAATTTCAAATCGTTATCTCAAAAACTGAGCGTATACTCGAATGCAGACATTGTCCCTCATACGGACATGGCTAAATTGACTCAGCTCGTCTGCTGATCTGTTAAATATAAAGTAAATACTTTATATACAATTTTAATATAAGCTGTTCGTTCAGGATACAAAAAATAATTTTACGCATTGTATTCATATTATATAAAAAAAGTTGTTAAAAATAAACAATTGATCGATATGTTTCCGGCCGGGTTCGAACCGGCGACCTTGTGCGTGTGAAGCACACGTGATAACCACTACACTACGGAAACGGTTAATATTACACTCTCCAACAGCACATTTCACGCACATTTATCATAAGAACACACTACTCAATTATTTTTAAAAATATGCATTTATATTAGTAAAGTTGTAAACCAACACAGAACGACTCTGAGCAATAAAAATTTCTATTTGATGTTCTTGTTGTTTGAGCGGCAGAAAACATTTCAGATGTAATTTTAAAGAAATGGAATGAAAATGGAGTAGTAGTCTCCATTTCACCTTGATCTTCATCTTCGGTAGCTTAGAAAAATGGCTAATAATTTCGTGTACTAAGAAATCTCATAAATGAAAAACGTACATTTGAATTTTAGTATGTATTATGTGTATTTGAACTTGGCACCTTCAGTTTATGCAAAATTATAATTTAAAGAGGCAAAGTAACTTATGCAGTATATTTTTAAAAACCTTACAAAAATACATGAAATGCTTAATAATCTATACTTTCAACCATCCAATTGATGTAGGAAAACATTGAAAGCGTTACGCATATGCTCACTGCCAAACTGTGGATTGGACTTCAGTGTCTCGCGCAACGCGTAACGACAACTTTTCAAGTCATAGGGACTTGTGAACTTTTCTTCGCTACGTAGCAAACCCAACTGCATCAGCATATAATTCAAAACGCGACGCTCTTGTTTCGTCTCTACAGCATAGTCGACTGTTTCTTTATAAAGCGCTTTCGCCAAATCCAATGCAGCAGGCGATGATTCAGAGAGGTGCGCACATTTTAATGTCGTAAAAATGAGCAATAACAGACGATTGTCATCGGTGAATTGCTATTGATATTAAAAAGTTGAATATAAATTATAAAAATAAAATTATAAATGTCAAACAGAAATTACCTCAATAATGCTTTTGAAGGCCTTCAATTTATCTGTCTCCTGCAATGACTCGAATGCTTGTATGGTGCAAGGTTTCTGACTTAGACAAAATGATTCGACGGTAACTGGCTTTGTTGGCGTCGTTTGATCAGCAAATTGAACATTTTTAGCAGACATAAAAGTCTCATTTGCACCAAACATCTGTAAATCATATAAAGCAACGAATCAATTAAAAAATACACTTTGCAACATCAAATTTTAGGACTGTTTACATTTGTTGTAAAAGCGGGAGATGTTATGTACGCTTCATCGCCTTCTTCGTCGGCATCTTCATCTTGGTACTCTTCATCTTCATCAACTTCTTCAGTAGTATCCTATGCATTTTTTAAATATTATTATTACAAATATTTATGTATTTTAAGTTCTACGTACATCTTCCTCATCATCATCATCATCATCTTCATCGTCGTCATCTCCGTCCTCATCTTCATCATCCTCGCACTCAGACTGATCTTCTTCAAGGCTTTCTAATGCATTTGGATTTGCGAAAGTCTCTATAATCTCCTTAATACGCTCACGTCCTTCATAACCAAACTAAAAAAAAAATTGTATAAGTGAAAAATTTGTCGTCACAAAGTGTCTGCACTTACTTGATTGCCATCTAAGATAAGTCTCGTTAAATTTTTCTTATTTTGCAAAGCTTCAACTAAAACAACACCTCCGTCTGCGCCGATTTCATTAAAACCCAAATCCACCACCTCGAGTTGATTATGGTTTTCGCTTAATGCCTCGGCAAAATGATAGGCGCCATGTGTTTTGAGCAGACAATCACCAAAATTAATGTCTTGCAACCTGAGGTGGAAAGCAAAAGATAATAATTTAAACTAATAAATTTATCACTTGTATAATTTTGCTAACTTACATTGGCGTGTATGCAAATGCTTCCGCTAGTGAAGCTGCACCTTTCTCAGTTACTGTGTTGTCATTCAAATTCAGAATGCGCAAGTTAGGGTTTTCTTTAAAACCGATCGCTAATGCTGCAATGCCTGCATGATATATAGAATTTTGTGGCATTGCTATTTCTTCCAAAGTTTTAAGTGTAGAAAATATTTTTGCTATAGCTTTAGCACCATCGTTTTCCAAACGATTGCGACCGGCAATAAAAACTTTCAACTTAAGTGGTGTTCCAGCGGCAACACTGCTCTTATGGCAATCCAATATAGCTTTTGAAAGCATTTGGCCACCGCCAATACCCAAACCGCAATTATTCAAACGCAATGTTTGCAATGAGTAAACTACTGGCGACCGCAAAAGATCCTCTAGCCCAACCATACCATTTGGACCCAAAGCATTATCACTCAAATCTAATACTGTAAGTTTGGCACCGGCAACCATTAAACCATTGCCCAAATGCTTTAGTGACAATGGCGTCTCTGTTTTGAGTCGTCTTGAGAACATATTATACCATAATGCTTTGTGAAATTCGGGGTGCTTCTCAAGACCTTTTGCAATCGCAGCCGCAGCATCAATCCCCAAAGTATTTCCACCCAATTTTAGGTAGTGGACAACCTTTGTTGTTTCCAAAGCCTTAACAATATCAGCGACTATGTAAATATATATATTTTTATAGTTTAGCAAATAATTTTTCTCAGCCAACAGTCGTTATGCATATTTCACTTCTCTTACCGTCCTCTGCTGTATCCCAAGTTAGTTGTTTATCTTCAAACGAGAGCCCCTCTTCCTGTACATCATGCAACTCTTGTGCAATTGTTCCGAAATTAAAATTAGACATTATTGAACACGTAAAATGTGTATTACTGCGGAAATAATAAAATCATACACTCGCAAATCTTTATAATGCTTGCAAATTTCAAATCTTTTTGTTGGTACACTTCCGAATAACCTAGAAAACAAGACGCTATTGATGCTATTTCGCCGCCTTGCAGCTGTCAAAGTAATAGCAACAGGGTGACTCTAAAAGCAAACTATTGCATGCAATTTGTTGGGGTGGTTTTTATAGGGTAGCCAATTTTTATAATTACATAAAAATTATAATAAAGGAATTTTCAAAAATATTTTAGCAAGTTATGGAATGCACCTTTTTTTATAGCTTAGCTGTTAATTAACAGTAGCATGTAAAAGATGGTGTTAATAATATAAGGGAACTTGGCGTACAAGCTGAAATACATGCAATACACTTAAAATATAAAACGCATAAATATTTAAAAAATTATTATATGTAACACATAAGCTTTTAACACACAAATTCATAACATTCTATAAACAATCTGTTAAAATTTATTATAAGCTAATTTGTAGAACTCGAATTTCCGTTTTAAACGTATCTCTTTATAAGTTATTTGTACTTCTAGACATTTTTTGTTATCTAATACGGTTCTTAAAAAAATTATAAAATAAATTCTATACAAACTTAGTTAGATAGTTTCTCATACGAGACCACCGTAACAAAGTGCAGGACCCACGACAGTCGGTACGTAAACGGAACGGTCCTGAATTTTTATCCGATCAAGGACTGTCAACTCGGCAGAATTCTGCCGCAACAACAACAATAGCAGGACTGAAATTCTATGTTTCGTGTTTTACAAATAAACCCCCAGCGTAAAAATTTTTTTCTGAAAAGCATTAAATCCATAAAATGGATTATAACTGCTGAATTATCGTATAACTGTTTAAACTTGTACATATGTATTTATTTAATAGAAGTATTTTATCAAATAAAGACATTTTTGTTAAGATTTATTAAAATTTATTTTATTTATAGCATGTTTGAATGATAATGTTTTAAGTATAACCTTATTTGGTACATACTTAATAATATGTTTCATGTTCCATCTTAAAATCCGTCTCTACGTTCATACAGTTATCAGTTATCATAAATATATCATTAGTTTGATAATGCTAATTTACTTTCGAAAATGTTTCTTCAAAAATCAGCTTCCAAATTGAAATACTACACAAAGTTTTTGTGCGCTACAAGTACATACACATAGTAATATACAAATTAGCAAAAGATAACGTAAATATGGAATTTATATATAAAAAAATACGCTTCTTTCACACCATTAATTCCAATTTAAAACAACACTTTTAGGCAGATTTTGTGATACTTAAAAAAATACTTATGCAATTTTCTTAATATGCCGTTAGTTTGTATGCTAACGGTCAACTTTCACTTGAAAGAAACGTGGAGAGAACTTGTAAGTTGAACCATTTATATTTACAAATTTTAAACTACTTTCAGAGTACTTAAAACATAAAAAAGAGATTTAGACGTTTAGACGCCACGTTATCATTCTATTCTCACACAGCATTCAAACATCTTAATAATGAACAAATTTTTTTTAAATAGATAACAGCCGTCGACTGCAATTATTATTGAAATAGATGTTGACATTTAATTACGAACAAAAAGTAACCAATATTAATATGTTAAAATCATTAAAAAAAAAAAAACCTGGCATGTATGCTGAATAGTTATGCCGAAGTGTGTGGTGTACTATGAATAATGGGCTAAATTAAAAATACAGTATTTGATAACTAAAAACACAAAGTAAACAGCAATGATTTGAATTGTGGCGAAATGTGATATCGTATAAACGAAGTACAGTGATTTCCGATTTTCGTTTAAACATATGCTAATGGAATGAATGTGCACGTTTGAGGGTGTACGGTGGGAATAGAATGTGAATAGAGGCGTTTGATTCAACATGAATGTATAGATATAATGTGAATTATAATTGGTTATTGATAACTTTGCTGCTTCTCCAATTTCTTAGAGCTATAACTCTTCTGATCTCACATTTTATATTCTAGGCAGACTCTTTTGCACAACAAGTCTGATTTTTTTATAATTCATTGGATTGGAAATGCTTAGTATTCAAAATCTGAATCGTCATCGTCGCTCTCGGAAGCAGCCTTTCTCTTCTTCTTTTTCTGAAAAAATAACACAAAAATATGAAATTTATGTTAGCATTAAATTTGGCGTGGAAATTTAATAGCAAATGCTGCTCACTTTTTTGTCACTATCACTATCACTTGTCATTGCCTTCTTTCGTGGACGTTTCGCTGTAGGCTTCTTCTTGATCGGCGTGGCATCCGACTCGCTCACTATAAGCACATTGCTACCGTTGGCTTGGTCAGCATCACTGCCATTTTCATCATCAGATATATGTGCCACCTGGTACGACTCTTCTTTGACACCTTCATTGTCTCTGAATTCGAGCTCACCATCGCTACTCTTTTCGGCTTCGCTATCAAGTAAGCCAGAGTAGTTGATTTTCTTGGCAGTTGCTCGGCGACCTGGTCGATCTGCGCGTGGCGCAACATCCACATGCATTTCAATATCACTACCAGATCCAATATCGTCTTCATCGGAAGAATTCTGTTTCTTTTTACGCTGTTGGACAAACAAAAAAGATGTTTAGCGCACACTATAATCACTCGAATTAACAAATACACACCCCTTTGCCGAAGTTCAACTTTGATTGTTTCAAACCATCTTTGGGTTTACGAACACGCTTTTTCTTTTCACCATCGCCATCAGCGCCAACTTCTTTAGCTTTTGTCTTTTTCAAAGCTGCCGGTGAACCTTTCGGTCCCTTTGCGCCACCTTCAACTATTGCATCAAACTCATCGACTTCTTCGGGCTTGACAGCCTTAGCTGCCTTTTCGACTTTCTCCTTCTTAATCTTTGGTCTGGCAGCAAGTGCCACTGCAGTTGATATCTTTTTCATGATCTCCTCAGTAACCTAAATGCCAAAAGCGTATATATATATTTTTTCCTTTAGTTAACCACATTGTTACATACCTTGAATTCAATTTTAACGCCATTTGGATCGGGGAAAATATTTTCATTGCCATCCTTAGCAGCGCGTTTCTTCAATGCACCAGTTAGAGCCTTTGATTTAGCAGTTAATGCCTTTGCCTGCTTTTTGTTGATGCCCAACTCTTCAAGTCGTTCGCGTTCTTCCAATTCATTGAGTTTCTTTTCAAAATCATCCAAATCATCTAACCACAAAGTTTGTATAGTCTTAGCTTTAAGCGCCGAAAGCTCGGCTAACTTTGTATCGCGTTGCTTTAACAATTCATTTTTCTTTTCTTCGGTCAACATCCACATGGACATACCCAACAGATAATCGAATTTCTTGACATCAGTTAATTTATTGAAAGCCTTCTCCGAATCTATCGGCTTTTTCTCCTTTTTCACTGTCGAGCTGCTTGCAGTTACATCGGCTTGTTCTTCATCCTCTTCATCAGCCTCCTCTTCTTCTTCCATATTTATACGACGTTGCCATTCCTTTACTGGATCGGGTTTATAGCCGCGCTTGATCAGTTCATCGATCATGGTCTTGCGTTTCTTATTTTCAACTACGATGGTACGATCACACTTTTCCATAATAAAGCGTGCCTGATCGGTCAAGCGATCAGCCTGCGCTGTCAATTGACCGATTAGGTACTCTTTGCGCTTAACATAATACTCAAGACGTACGGGGTAGTATTCTTTCATAATATCGATTGAAGTAGGAAAACGACGTAAGCAATTGTTTTGGTCGAAGCAATGCATTTGATTAGTCGACATTGACGAGGTTAACTTGAAAGCGCGATGAAAGCCACCATCTTCAGCTTGCAAGCGCTCGAATTCACCAGGCGTGAATGTGATGACGAAACGCACTGTGGTATCCGTATGATACTCACGGTAATCGGCGACAACCGCCTTACCCTTTTCACCGTTGGAAAGTGCATCTAGCACACTCTCCTTGTAGGCTTGGGTCCAAGTACTCACTGGCAGTTCAGATATTTCGATTTTATTATTTTGCACAATTTGTATATTGCCTGAAGAAATATAACGGCCATCAGAGACGTAGTCAATGGTGCCTTTGAAATTTTTGTACCTATAATAATAAATAAAACAAAAACAATTCAAAAGGAGCGAAACATTTAAACATCATTATAATATTATATAAATACAGAGTTGTAACTAATGCAAAAAAAAAAATATTGAATTGTTTAAAACAATTTTTGTTTTTTCTAATTAAAAATAATTGAAAAAATTATAATAACCAAATAAAAAATAAAATTTTAAACCGAAATAACGTATTGAGAAAAAAAAAACAAAAAGTTCAATCCCAAAATTTAACTCCAAATACCATTGAAAAAAAAATGTCTTATCTCAAACACCGACTTGAAAACAAAAAAATTTCAAACTTAAATTTATAATTAAAAATCAAACAAATTTTTGAATTTACATATTTACGCGCTTGCTTGGTATTAAAAATTGAAAATCAAATTTTTAAACCAAAAATTTTGAATTGAAAAATTCGTTATACAGTATATATGTCAGATGTATTTGAATTAGAATCTGTATGACGAGCTCCAAAAACCTGCTGGGTGCTATTGAGGTAATGTGCACCCTATCCACGTAAATGGAACCGAAGGCCTTGAGCCTACGTCTACAAATTGCTGTGCAATGTAGGATCCGGTGTTCTGCGATGCATGGTTCTGGCCCCATCATCTTAGAAGCTGCAGCAGAGCGGGCGAGTTCGCGGATGTATTAAAAAACAGTTTGCAAATTAACTTACCAAGGATGCATCGGCAATGGTTCCTCATTAGCCAGCATTCGGCGAATATTCTGTATAATATCACGCGGGTTGTGATTGTAAATCTTTGTGGACCAACCTGTGCCAATACCATCAGCACCGTTCACCAAAACCATTGGTATGATTGGTATATACCATTGTGGTTCAATCTTTTGACCATCATCAACTTCGTACGTTAACAATGGATCGTCGGCTGGGTGGAATATGAGTCGCGTCAAGGGCGACATTAAGGTGAAAATATAACGAGCGCTTGCACAATCTTTACCTCCCTGCAGACGTGTACCGAATTGACCGCGTGGTTCTAATAAATTTATATTATTTGATCCCACGTAATTTTGCGCCAAATTGACTATGGTTGCCTGCAGTGACATCTCGCCGTGATGGTAGGCGGACATTTCAGCCACCGAACCAGACAATTGTGCAACTTTCACCTCACGTTTGTCGTTACGTTTGAAACAGGTAAACATTACTTTGCGTTGACCAGGCTTAAATCCGTCTACGAGACATGGTATGGAACGGACATTGTCAGCATTGGAGAAGAGCACCAACTCAAGATTAACAAAGTCCGAATATGTTATGTGTTTGGTGCCTTTGGTGTACAAATAACGCTCGGGTAGACCAAGTACTTTTCGGCGTTTCACCTCGTCCATATGCGATGTTAGCCATTCTTTACGCGCATCTACGTGTTTTTTGGAGAAAGCCATAACAATGGCGTCATCATCCACACTGCCGTCATACTTGAAAGTTATACGATGACGTTCCATGTCTTGGAAATATTCTTTAGCCTCCTTAGATGTAGAGGTACCCAAACCTATAAAGAAAATTATAAAAAATTTTGTTTTAAAAATATTTTGGCAATAAAATAAATCTTGGGAAATTTATATGTAATATAATCGTAAATTTCATTATATTGAAAAAAAAAAGTACCTTTGTAGTACTTGATATTATATGTATTATGGTTTGGCGTATCATTCTTCCACTCTTCGAACTCGGGCAGTGAGTAGAAGGAGAGCACTTCATTTTTCTTCGAAGCCTTAACAATTGGTGTAATAAATTCTTCGAGGAACGGTAGTCGTAATAGTTCGGGCCAGTTTGTGTGTATGAAATTAATCAGTAGCCCTTTTATATGCGAACCGTCCTGATCCTGATCAGTCATAATCATAACTTTACCATAGCGTAAAGTTTTTAAATCTTCCATTGTGGTGTATTTCTTTTTGTACTGCAAACCAATAATCTTTACTAGATTATTGATTTCAGCATTTTCAGCCAACTGTTTAAATGAAGCCTCGCGCACATTTAACAGTTTACCACGTAGTGGAAATACACCGTATAAATCACGTCCGATGACACCAAGACCGGACACAGCCAACGACTTGGCTGAGTCTCCCTCCGTTAAAATAAGCGTACATAAGTAGGAATTTGATTTTCCAGCCTCGTTTGCATCTTCGAGTTTGGGTAAATTCTTTATTTTAGAAGACTTTTTACCTCCTTTCTTGTCAATTTCACTCTGTGCTTTAAATTTAGCCCATGATAATACGGCCTCCACAATTCCGGACTTGGAAACATTTGCAATGAATTTTTCTGAGAGCGCACATTTCGAGCCAAAACTTTTGGCTTGTAATGTCATGTTTTCTTTTGTTTGCGAATCGAACGTCGGATTTTCGATAAGACAATTGACGAATACCCACATATGGTTGCGTACTTGAAACGGTTTTATGTTAATACCACCTACAATAAAAATAAAAAATTTGATTTAATATTTAGATTTAAAAAAATTGATAAATATTAAAATATTTTCTACACACCTTTGTTCTTCTTCTTTACAACTTCGATCAACTGTTTAATTATCATGTCGACCACATAGTCCACATGGCGTCCACCTTTTGTGGTTGCAATCGAATTAACGAAAGACACCTGTTGGAAATTATTTTCTGAGGGACAGCAAGCTACCTCCCAACGTTCCCCAGCTTGTTCGTAAACAACTTTAATTGTTTGTCCGGAGTCATCACTATTCTTTACATATAAATCAATGTAATCCTTGAAATTCTTTACCGGCAATTTTTTGCCATTTAAAAATACAACTACACCCTTTGTTGCAGCGGCAATATCATAAGCACGACGACACATTAGTGCAACAATATCGTCATCGAGACGATCCATTTTAAACTTGGACAAGTCAGGACTGAATGTAATTCTTGTGAAATCGGAGCCCGCAAATTCTTTAATCTAAACAAAAAATATATATATTACGTTAATATATAAAAAAAAGTGAGCATAGCTAATTATTTAATAAATTAAATACGAAACCCACCTTTGGCGGAGTTGTTTTCGACATGTTGTTTGCCCAGATTTGTTTGAAACTTTTCTTGTATTCCTTAGTAGCCGTTTCCACCATGAAACTAGTTGAAAAAATGTTGCATAATTTTGCGCCATAACCATTACGACCACCAGTCACTTTTTTCTCATCATCATTGTAATTTGACGAAGTTAAGAGATGACCAAAGATCATTTCCGGCACAAACATTTTATGTTCTTTATGAACCGTGACTGGAATTCCTTGTCCATTATTCCAAATCGAAATAGAATTTTTTTCTGCATCAATATCGATTTTTATTGTACTCATAGTTTTGTCACGTTGCTTATTATCGGAGGCATTTACAAGAATTTCATCGAAGATCTTGTACAAACCGGGTACGTAGGTGACTTGTCGCTGTATCATTCGATTTTTCTCCTCATTATATACCCACATGGTTTCGGTAACGTGCTCCACCGAACCGATATAAGTGTCCGGACGCAATAGGATATGTTCTAATTGAGATTTCTTTTGGTACATTTTTTCGATGGAGGTACCACTCCCTGCCACACTACCACTGCCGTTCTCCATTGCTGTATAATTAGTTAGCTATGAACATAAAAAAGTAAATTATTTTAGACACTTTATGTTTAAGTGATTAATTTCAACATTGGTATAAATACTGCTAGACAAGCGCACAATAAATAGCTTTATAAACCAATTACATCACTCTTATGTACTGTAAATTTATATATTAAACAATATATAATATTTGTCCCTAGCAGGAGCTATGCCGAAATTTTCAATTTTGGCGCCTTGCATGACAGATGCTCTACATAGATGTAGGTAGCATGTGTTATGCACCATTCCCAAAATATAGTAAAGTCAATAAAATATCTTTAAAGCTGGTAGATTTCGAAAAATACAAAAATATTTTAATATTACTCAATTAAAATTTAATATTAAGCAAAATATTTAGATCGGAACATAAAAGCAGATGTTTTGAAAGTCAGTTTTGTGTATGTACACCTTTTTAACGCACCCTGTATAACAATTTCAAATTTGTGTGCCAAGAGAGTCGGCGTCGGTATAACATTCGTAATCGAGTCTAAAACTTAATACAAATGCATATATTTAAAATAAAAAAATGTCATATGTTTCGTTTCTTGTTACAATAAACAATATTAAAAACTGAAACTATTGGTTTTCTTATGGACAATCGCATTTGTTTCTTTCTCTTTGGCTTCCGTTTACTTTTCCGCTCGCTCAACCAAAGCCGCTGGCTCTGCCACCGCTGCCACATGAGTGCGCCATTTTTAATTTGCAAAGCGAATTGCAGCGAATGCCGCTTCGCCAATATACAACAAAATTTTGTCCTCCAACTCTACTCGCAACTTACTTCACTTTTTCAAAGCTATTATTAACGTTTTTACACTTAATACTTTTATAATCTTACCTTGTATAGATAACCAAGGTTTTATTTTCTTAATTATGCACAATTTCGTACAAATTCTAATGTAATCAGTCTCACCACTGTACGTTTCAAAGCCGGTAAACTGAAAATGTTCACGTTGTTCAATTGACTTCCACAAATTCAAATGATTTATCTATTTTTATTCAAATTGACATTAAAGTATATGGGTTATTATGAAAAGCAATAAAAAAAAATTTACTTCAATTTTACAACTGACTTCACGCACTGCGACTGTAACTGCGGCCCCGATCGAAACACGTCGTTGCTTTCCGCCGTTGAAAACTGAATTATTTTCGCTTGACGCGAACTGAAGCGAACCACAGCGAAATGCCAATGCCGATGCAAATAGTAACAATGATGCCCATCCACGGTTGAATTTTAAGTAATTGATATATCTTAATATGAATAAGGGTATTCTTTACGAACATATAGCATAAAGACAACAATGAGGTGAAGTGAAGATCATTATCATAAAAACTCCTTTGTTTGGGAAACTTATAATTAATAAAAGACTTCGATCTTCCATTATTGACTTCGAAATGCTAATTTTATTTTTAAATAAGAAACAAAAATATAAAAGAAGACACTTGTTTAATAAATATACTATAATTAGATGTATCTTTTCCCAATTGATTCTATACATCTATAACTTTAATTGGATGTAGTGTGCTGCTAACTCTTTAGAATATGAAATGTATTCTGTTAATTCAAACTTTCAATACAATTTGTGAGTTAAATTTTTTATATATTATTTATTTCGATTTAATTTTTTATTAAAATTATAATAAGTTTATACAAAAGAGTTACATTTTTATAAGAGTGAGTCTAATGTTAAATTATGTGTTACTAATATTATGCGCTTAGAACCGTTACCACGAAGCGTAAAGAACTTTTTCGATATACCAGTATTTTGAGATAAAAATTTTAACAGTTAAATCAATAAATTTTTTTGTAATCATTATGTTTTTTACTGCAGAAGTATGACAATAGTTCGTCACTTCTTGCTTACATAAGTATGTATAAAATATTTCCTTCCTAAAAATAGTTTTTAAAAAACATCTGTATACAAAAACAGGATTCGTATATAAATTCATTTACACACATACATACAAACATATATCATGAAATGCAATTTTAAATGCACTTTCTTTCGATATCCATTTGGCACACCAAGACATAAGTCCTGAGTGAAACTTTTATATAGTTAATGTATTTATGCATAAAACAAAAATAAAAAATCAACTTTTATCAGTATCTAAATTTTCTATAACAGACTAATCGTAAATAATTTGGCAATATTTTTGACAAGAATAAAAAATAAACAGTTTCAACATTTTTTATGAAGTATACTCAATGTGTTGGCGATCGATATCCTTAAATTGCAAAACTACATTTACCAACTCGGTAGTTAAATTAAATTCAAAATGCATTTCAAAATTACACACAAATATCAATTTACTTAGAAATGCCTTCTGTTTAAAGATCATCATCGCCAATACCTTCGAATGCCTCATTGTGGACAGATTCTTCAGCACCGTTACGAAAGAAAACTGCAGAATACGAACTCGAACTGGATATTTTTGGGTTGAATTTCGTGCGAGTGCGTTGAGTGAAAAATTTAACAGGTGCAGTTGGCGATGATGAAGAAGATGAGCTTGACGTTGTAGTCGCTGTTGTTGCAGTCGATGATGACATTAATTCTGTGGACAAAGATGGTGTAGAGGCGGACGACGTTAATGTCGATGGTATATGTGATACTCTCCCGTTTCGTGAAACGTACGATAGCAATTGGGATTGCGAAATCTCTCTAACTCGTGTATTCAAACCATCAACAGTATCTTTACAATTCAGCAATTCGTCAACCATTGATTGTAGACAAACTGACATGAGCATAGCTTGTGAACTGGTTATGGTAATCCATCGTAAAGTCTGTTTAGACATCAAGTATTCAAAGGCAAGCTGTAAATTTGTGGGCGATTTTCCGTAATTACTTGCATTTTCATCGGTACTGTTTGAAATTGATGAATCTAAGTTGCATGTGTTATGCATAGCTGTTACCCGCCAGCAACGCATTCGTGTTACACGAAATTTAGTCTCATAAATTTTTCCAGCTTTTGCAGTACGCATACTTAACTCTTTATTTCCAATGGAAATAAGTGCTGTGGTTTTTGGTTCCGGATAGTCGATAAGTGACGCACTGAATTGCAAACACCCGTAAAGTGGTAATTGTCTCGCCATCTCTATGTATTCGGCTTGCATCCCGTGCTCTTGCAAACTAGTTAGCTTTTGTAAAATTTCGGGAGGCGTAATTATCCATTCATTATCTATGTCAGATACAATTTGTGCAAAAAGCAGTTTTAGAGCAACCTGGTCTTGCAACAGCCCCAAATCATACATGGGATTCCAATAGCTTTTGCGAATCATTACTTGACACGACAAAGTTTTCTCTTGCGCCCATAAACGTGATAAATACGGTGATTCGAAATCCATTAAACGTCTTAAAAGCACCAATTTGTTTTGTGTAATATCACTGTTTTGCCGACGCACCAAAAATAGACAAAAATGTTGCATAAATTGTGTGGGCAGTTGTACGCATTCACATACTTTACGCAATACTGTGCTGGCATTATCACCAATGTGACAATTGACCTGCAGTGTGAGGTCATTTGATAGCCACACCTCCAAAACAGCTGACACACGCTTAAGATCGCTACCACTGTAATCCAGCCCTAAAATACCATCAGCTAAAGAAGTTTCCTGTTGTGCATTCAGCAGATAACTTTGAAAATGATCAATTTTTGAAATAACCGCATCTTGACCACATAATTGCAAGTAATGTTCTAAAGAAGCTCTTCTCGATTCTAGTTGCCCATTAGTTAATGGTAGCAGGCGCTTTGGAGGGAATGTCGTTGGCAACTGGATATTGAGATCTGCACACCTACGACGAAGCTGTTCGTGCAGTGCATGCAATTGTTTATATCGCAAACAACAATGGTAGCTGCCATTAATATATATATTGTAGCCTGTGTAGGTGGTACCAGTTAGCTCCGAATATAATTCTTGCGTATCCGGAATGGAGAAGTGCATGTCTTAGCCCAAGTTTCTGTTACTTCAAGTTTTATTCTATGCTCAATAGATACACGGCCACAGTAATATTTCTTATCACTCTTTGTATTTACATAAATATTATTAAGCGCTATGTATGAAATTTATATTTTATTAAAGTTTAATATTAGTCACAGTCATTCACTTTTCTTTTCAATTAATTAATATTTGGGCTTTTGTTGTTTTCCTGACTTTTTATTTCGTTCTTTCGTTGCGACTAACCAGAGTTGTCAAATAAGCTTTGTTGCAATAAATATTGAAAATACGTAAAATTTTGTAAAAGGTCCATATTATATAAAATGTTATATTCTTAAACCGATCTATAACTAATTTATATAGCAATCAAATAGAAAACAATAAGAAAATGTGAAAAAGTTCAATATATATTAACTTGTTGTGGTGTAACATTTTCTGATTAGCAGCACTGCTATAATTTTTTATTAAAAAATACTACCCTGATATTGAGAACAAGAAATAAACCATAACCAAAAATAGTTAAAATGTAAACAAACGCAAATTGAATTAGAACATAGCTCCAATTATCATGAACACATTAAATATTGAGTTATTACCTCAACAAAGGCAACATGCAAATATATTAAGCATTTTTGAAGACGAAAAGTCAACTTCTCATGGATTTGTTCGTGTCAGTGCTCCAATGGTGCGATACAGCAAGTTGGAGTTTAGGCGGTTAATTCGTCAGTACGGGGTAAAACTTGCCTTTACCCCAATGGTTATTGCAGATTCTTTCATACATAGCCAAAAGGCTCGCGTTAATGAATTCACAACATGTTTAGATGATATTCCCGTTATATCACAATTTGCTGCACGCGATGCCTATGAGTTTTCTGTAGCTTCCCAACTAATATATCCATATGTTGATGGAGTTGATTTGAATTGTGGCTGCCCACAGTCATGGGCTATATCTAAAGGATATGGTTGCGGGCTTCTACGACACCCAGAGTTGGTTCGTGATATCATACAAACTACTAGACGTCTTTTACCGCAAAGTTTTAGTATATCGGTAAAACTACGTTTACTCAATGGAGTTCCAGAGGAATCTGTTAGATCTACAGTTGAATTGGCGCGACAGCTAGAAAAATGTGGGGCTACATTTTTGACAATTCATGGTCGAACAATGTGGCAAAAAACATCAGATCCGCTTAACATAGCTGCTATGGCTGAAGTAAAAAAATCAGTACATGTTCCTCTTGTCGTCAATGGGAATATACGTAGCTGGCAAGATGCACAAGAATTGCAAGGCCAAACGAAAGCTGATGGTGTTATGGCAGCGCGCGGATTACTTTCAAATCCAGCACTATTTGATAATAACATTGAGGAAAAAGAAACACCAGTTGAATGTGTGCAAAATTGGTTAGATATCGCAACTCGGGCTGGTGATAACATACATTTCCAATGTTTTCACCACCATCTAACATTTATGTGGAGTAGCCACATGAAACGTAAATTGCGTTTGGAATTCAACAACTTTACAAATAAGCAACAAGTGTTCGACTTTTTTGAAGAGCGTTACGGTTTAAAGCCGCAAGAAACAACACATAGCAATCCCTTTGACTATACCGAGTGTGTTTATCCGCCAGTGACACATAGTTCTAAACCTCATAAAAATAATGTCGAAGAATCATTGGAGGGGCAGACATGGAATGAAAACTCAAATGGAAAATATTTTAATGAATTTAAGGAGGAGTTATCGGAGACGGAAACACGATTTGATAACCAACATGAGGATGTTGCTTTAGAAGGAAGCTTTTTCACGGATTTAGACTGATTACCATTTAATGGATAAATATTCAGACGGAAATTGACTGTGTTTATTATTAAATGAAAAAGCAATTCATAAAACAAATTTTAATTTAATAAAAATATACACTATTTTTTATATGCAGATAATTTTAACAATTTTTTTTCTGAACATGGTATGTTAAGTTTGCCACGAAGTTTTTAATACCCAGAAAGAAACGTCTGAGTCCCTATAAAATATATGTACGGTATATATAGATGATCAACATGACGAGTTGAGTTGATTTGAACTTGTCCGTCTTTTTGTATATACATATATGAACTGATCTCAAATTTTGTGCACATCCTTTTCTCTCCAAGAAACTAATTATCGAAACCGCCGACATCGGATCACTAAAACATATAGGTTCCATACAAACCTACCGAACCAAGCAAATTCTTGTATGGGCAACTTTTATATTTGACGAGTTGTCTTCATGCCATTTTGGTATAAATTATTATTCAAGGCAACTTAATAATCGCTGAAGATATTGTTTTGATCGAACCACTGTAGCATATAGCTGCTATAAAAACTAACCGATCAAAATCAAGCTCTTGTATAGAAACTTGTATTTGTGAAGGGTATTATAGCTTCGTTGCAGCCGAAGTTAACGATTTTTCATTTTTGTATTGAAAATGCAGTATTCGACCTTCGAATAAAAATACTCGTTTTGTGATTGTTTATTATTTTAGTGATGTAATAATTAATTTTTCCACTTCTTTTTTACAAAATTACAGTTTAAAAAATGTTTTCGCAGGAATTTTGAATCGAAAAATAGGAATATATAGAACTATAACGCAGTAATAGTAGGTACAGATAATACTATTTGGATGCAACCCTGTAGTTATTGATTGCATACTTTTCGAAACGAAAATAGGAAAACTATTTATGGAAGAATTCCGAAACGAACTAAAAAAAGTAAATTCTCTATAAAATTTTTAGTTAAAGGCTGCATTATAGCATTATAAATCCTTAATCTGCAGCAAAGAATTGTCGATGAACAAACTTCTTGAAGTTGTATTTGTATCTCTTTTAGACTGATTGCATTGCTTTTGTTAGCCAGAAGTAATCAAGTGTGTTGATAAATACTAACAAAAAGGAATGTAGATAAAAAATTGGGCACAAGAGAAAAAATAAATTTACAATAAACAAAGCGACGGACGAACGAGTGTGAAAGCAATTTGGGAGTGCAAAAACAGCACCTAATTTCAACGTCGACTAATATTGTCTGATATTTAAAGTGTTTTAATTAAAATTCAGAATAAGTTTAATGCAGCAAAAAATATAAGAAGCCATTACAAGTAATTCGCATATAAATATATAATTCGCATGTAAAGTATAGTTTAAAGAAGAGCACGAAGAAAGTTGTATGTGCAGTTGTATTGGCGCACAAGACGTATAAATAAATAATAAATATTGAACGCTACAAATAAAGCAAAATACCTACAATGGATCGCAATAACGGGTAAGTTAATAATATTTTCACTAAAATGCAAGTATTTTATGTTGTATGCCGTAAAACTATTTGGCAAGAAAACTACAGTGAAAGCAGAATATGCAAAATGGTGCCAAGGCCTTTAAACACCAACTCCGTTGAGACTCTTAGATTACTCTTAAGCACCATACCTGCTACAATGAGTTTGTCGTTGACAAATGTACTAATATGTGAATTCATCTAAAATAAAACCATAAAATAATAAAAATAAAATAATGTTCATATGATTTAAGTTTAAATATTCATGTAGGATTTGAAAAGGGATAGGTGGTTAATATAACGCGTTTAAAAACCTACAGTAAAAACAAGATGATAATTCACTTGGTATTATGTTGTTTTGCGAGGTGTTTAAATGTTAAATATGTTAACTAGAAGAATATAAGTTAATAGAAACGCAGCCGACGTTGATCATGCGCAGAGCACATTTTGAACCAATACAAATCAAATGTTAAGAATCCTTCCTTTGATTTTCAAAAGTTTACAAGTATATACGTATGTACAACTCACTTGGCATCATAAATAATGTATGATAATTGAATATTATTTATAATACTAAACAAACGCCCGTAAATTAATATGTATACTAGAATAAGAAAAACGTTGCCATACAAGAATATGATTAGATCGATATCTCAAAAACTAAAGGGTTAGTTCGCGTTTAAACTGACAGACTGATATGGCTAAATCGACTCGACTCATCGAGCCTTTATATATATAGTATATATAATCTCATATACTATGAATTTAAAGCATCCTTCCGCAGGAATTACTTGTATAGTACATATTCTTTCTGTTTACAATATTTTAATGTATGCGTTATGTGCAACAACAATAAAGGAAAAGTTTATTTATGAGGCTAAGAGTATTTCCGATTAAAAGTATGCCAAGATATGTACATATGTAAATGCTTATACTAAATACAAGTATACATGTATGCAGGCAAAATATATCCATAATCTATGTTTCAATATATTTACAGCTCTAATCGCTACACACCAATCCGGCGCGCAGGCCAGCAACAACATCAATCAAATTCGTTGTCATCATCACTTTCATCATCGAATAATAATCAACATCAACAACATTTAGATAATCATCGCAATAATTCGTCACAATATTCAACGACCAATCATAGCGCATATTCACCACAATCATCAATGTCCCGCGAACCGCTCACACAACATGACGAACTGATTCGATATATCAGGGAAGCATGGACAAAGGTAATTTTTTATAAACGTAGCTTCTTTAGGGATGAATGGTTTAGAACATACATACAATAAAACAATGCGAGGGGCGGGCTGGAAAATATTTAAGCATTTTTAATACTTACTTCATATGAATTTAATAGTAAATGGGATGGCGGTACAATCGAATCGAATTCATGATATGAGAAATCATGGTAGTCCGAAAGATTAACATCGTTATAGAACTCGTTGCGATTATTCGGCTGAATTATTTCAGACGTATCATTAAAGTCGGCAAAGTTTCCATTGTATTCGCCGTCAGTAGATTCGACACCGGGAAATACGTAATTAGAATGTGCATTATTCATTGTGCCAGCCAGAGACGTGTTAGATGATGTCGCATTCGATACTGGTGGCGATGTTGGAGCAAATGTCCAAGGGGATGTTGATGGACGACTGTCGAATCTGTGTTTGCGTCTTCGAGGCATTTCTACGCTTTAATAAGATTGATTTCTATTTGAACATTAAATTCAATTACAATGGACGTTATGAGTTTGTTTTATTTTCTATTTATTCGAATTCCGTTCTTTATGGTTGAATTTCGCTTGTTTTGCTGTAATGACTTTTAATTTACATATTGTTCTCAATTTGACGCGATTACGTTGACATGTCGGTGACCTTTGAAATTTTTGAAAATAATTTATTTGAAGATTTAAAAGTGCGCGAAAATTCTTGTATATTACATTAAACAAATAAACAAAATATTTTTGACTAAAGTCAATTAGTTGTAAGTTATAGAATATTTTATATAATTGCCACATGTGTTAAAATTACATGAAATTTATTGAGGGAGAAATAATAATAGTCGGAATTGACTCACTACCATATCAACGCATCAATTTCAACACACACATCTTTTTTAAATTAGTAATACAGAAAAATTAAGTAAGTTTTTTTTTCTTACAGGTAAATGAACAGAACACGCCCGTAAATTATTGTAATGAGTCGGATCACCAATTAAAAAATTTCAAACCTTTTAATTTGGAGGAGTACTGGGACCAACGGCATTTTCAAAATATTCGTGTATCACATGGACAACAATAAGATAATAGAAATTCATGCAGCAACAACAACAGTCGTAAAACATATTTTACTTGTTTTATATGTTCTGTGTTGATTGTCGTGCATTTGAAAAATTTTTATTGTAGTACTACAAGTAACACACAAGCTACATAGAACTATGTATTTCCATCATTGAGAAAAAATCTGAAACTCTTCAAAAATCCCGGATATTTAAGCACATACTTATTTAAAAGTAAATTGCGATATAAAGTAGTTGTATTTCTTCAAGCTGAAATTCTCGTTACATGATAGTTAAGAAAGTATATTTAATTACAATTAATTAATTACAAAAAAGTAACGAAATGAAAAACAAAATTAAGTTATTTAAAATTAAAAAGCGTCGTATGAATCGTTCATTCTATCAATTAAAAGATTTCGCAATAATATTATTAAATTCAATAATACGTGGAAGGGAATGCAGACGAAATATTTCAAAATTACAATTAAAGGCAATAAAAAATATTTAAATAAACTTGTTGGATTTTCTTTTTATCATATAGAAAAAATATGAACAATTTGGGAAGATATCTTGTCAAATAAAAGCGTTTTCTATACAAGGACAAAATGAGCAGTTTCTTGTAGTGAAGAGGACGTTTGCAAAATTTCAGATCGATAACTCAAGAACTAGTTCGCGTATATATAGATAAACGAATATGACTAAATGTACATGTACCGTTCGCATAACAGTCGGGTCTACGTAACCGGAACGGACCTGGATTTTTCCGGCCAAGAACTGTCAACTCTGCAGAGTTCTGCCGCTACAACAACAACTAAATCGACATGTTGTTTGTTTATATATTCCTTTTTTACAGTGCCCGACCATTCCTTTTGGGTGCTATAAACTCCGTAGCAAATTTTGTATACCCTGTTAAGGGTATAATTAATGCGATATTTCTTTAGTTTTTGTGCTTTTTGTCCACAAAAGTAAATGTTTCTTTGCTTGAACTCTTAAAAATAGTTAAATAAAATTATTGTCAAAACACATCTTCCCTATCGAATGGTTTTTGTTTTATCATAAACAACGGACAACAGACATTCCAAAAGTATTTGCGAGTATTCACCAAAGGCCACCAGCAGAAAAGCCTATGGATTATAAAATTTTGCAAATAACTGTATATCTAAAAAAATTGTATTGCCTTTACATTGACTTTCCACACCAATCAGCTATACGCACTTTTATTTATATAAAAAAACATTTATTTTTTTCTATTTTTATTATTATATATATTTTTTTCGGAATAAAAATACTCCCCCATTTACACCAATAAAATTTCGTGAAGTCAACGGGTTAGGCAATAATTTAAAATTTCTTAAACCATTTTGCGCAACAATTTGTTGATTTTGTCTTCGCGGTTACCGAAATCACCACCTTCAACGTAGTGATTCGCCTTCTTGCGCCATCCACCGGTTGGAGTATTCAGTTTGAATGGCCATAAGAAGTTCGAGGCTTTCTTGAAGTGGGGTCCAACGGTGAAGATTTCATGTACCAAATCCTCAACGCACTGAATGTCATGTGCTTTACGCAATTTACGTTCAATCACGAAGTTGTCGGTGATGGGAACACGTTGACGGCTGTGCTTAACGAAACCTCGTTTGTAGACCAATTCGCGGACTGATTTCAGATTTGGGTATCCCCATGTAATGTAGGGTTCAGCAATGCGCAACATATTAATGGTGGCTTTGTTCAATTTAATGAAAACACCATTGTTAATTTGGCGCAGACGGAACAACTGCAAAACTTTACGCACTTTAGGGGCAACTTTGTTGATACTAGTGAAATTTAAGAGAAACACATTGAATTATTTTTTTTTTTTATTGAAAAATATTATACCAGAACTCACCCGCGAATACGGATAACAAAAGCCAATTTGGACTCAGCAGGCACGTAGAATTGTCCGCGTTTCTTGGCCAAACGGCGCAACTTAATCTCACGACGGTCAGTACGCAGATATTCGGCTTGGTATTTCTCGGCACGAACCAAGTTCTCACGTTTGCGTAGCGCAATGACGGCAGTACGTTTCAATTTACGCTTGATCAAGATAGCACGTTTGCTGACTTGTTTCTTGCTGAACTTCAGCTTCGACTCGGGGACAGCGGGTAACTTCTTGGCAGATTTGCCCTTTGCTTCGGGCTTCTTGGCGGCTGCGGTGGCAGTCATCTATAATGCAAGGATACACGATCATTTTAAGAAGAATTTAATTCAATTTTGCATGCATTAGGAGTGTAAAATCACAAAATTCACAAAATTCACAGAATCTTTCGCTAACCTTAACTTGTCACTTAGCACGTTGAAAGAGGAAAGGAAGAAAAGGAAAAGAAAACGCTAAAGGAAGTATAGTCATGTTGGCTGCGATTCAAATTGACATTATTATGTTGGCTGCACTGACGAAACAGATATATGTCAATAAACAAATTGGAAATGGTTTGTGGATAAGCTAATAAAATTAAAAAAATATTGTTTTACATAACTCTGTATTTATTTTTGATACTTTTTTAATGTGTATCTCATGCGTAAATTTCGATAATTTAAAAAAAAATTTAATTGTTTAATTGTATTTTATACACCAAGTTCGTAGTGTTTTCTATATATACATTTAAATTATAATTTTATGCTTGTATGTTCACTTTCTAAATATGAATGTTATAAATATGACATTTATTTAACTAATTATTATAGTTATTTAAAAATTATATATAATATTTATATTCTTTGCAAATCAATTTTAAAGCCATATCCTACTCTGAACTCGTTGTTATTCGAAAAGCCAGCTGTTAGGCAACTTGATAAATTTACTTGATATAACTGCGAATCTTTTTACTGAATCTAATTTTTTATTTCGGTGATAAATTAAATATTATATTAAAGTTGAGGTGTGCACAAAGTATAGGGTTTAAAAGATGTCTTTGGAAATTCCTTCAAGTCCTGTTTATCATACAAGTGTGGAACAGAAGCTTCATTCGAAAAATGCCGCCAAAGTATATCGCTATGGTTCGCCAAAAATTCGTGACCAATTGCGTGATGTTAGTAAATATAATGAATTTTCGTTTGTTTTAATAATTAAATATGTTCAATGTAGAAATTTCGCATGCGGGTGCGTGAAGCTAGGCAGGCCAACTTCACTAAGCGCCGTTTGGCTAATATAACAGAAGAGGTATGTTTTCTTAATATTGTACTTGTATATTTGGATTGATAGTATGACTAGTTTTCATAACAATAAAGTATTATGCATTATTTTTCATTAGTTTGACCTTGATGAGTTGTTGCGAGAAGAAGTTGCTAACCTGGAAAGCGACTTGCGTTTGCAGGAAGAAATTTTCAAAGAACTACGCGATGAGATAAATGAATGGTTTGTACAGGAATTGGAAGCAGAAGAAATATCGCTAATAAATGCCGCCGATGAAGATGCAAATAACAATTCTGTTATTTGTCCCATATGCCAACAATGCAATCTTTCTTTTGTATCCACTAAGGAGAAAGATGGAAGTAATATTTTCAAGTGCACTTGTGGAGTGAGGTAGGATTTGTTTTGAGGGGACATTTTATAGAAGTTTTTTGATATACAAATGAATATATTATTTAGCTTTAATAATGCTGTTAAGCCTTTGACCCTACGGGAAATACTACATTCGCAAATAGATGTGCATGAGCAAAATTGTGATGCCAATCTCACCTTCTTTTTGGAGCCGCAAAGTGCATATGGTGTAGCAACTGATGCATGTGTCAACAGTCTTTGTGCTATTTGTGATAAATGTGATTACTTTTATAGCTTTTAAGTATTTAATCATTAAGCATTATTCTGTCTATTCTTTAATTATAATAATGCAGTAGTAGTATGTAATTGAAAGATAATGCTCGCTATAATTAGAAATTAATAAGTGAACTGAATACAAAATTTATAAGTTTATGTGAATTTAAGAGTTATCAGCACATAATTTTTATGATTACTTCTATAAATATGTTTAAAAGGAAAGATATAACAATGTAAAACTCATTTATATATTGTTGTATTATAAACTATATGTCGTATGTGTTGTTTACCTTTTCTCCAAGGATAAATCTAATATAAACTCATACATTTTGAATAAATTATTTAAAAACGAGGCAATTACAAAACTAACTTCATTTTTTTATAAAGAACGATATGAAATATATTTTAAAGCTTCGTTACATTTATTTACCTATTAACTCAAATAAATTGCTTTTCCTTTTTTATCGTTACAAAAATGGTCAAGAGTGAATATGGTGACAAAGTATTAAGGTTGAACGATGAAAACAATGAACTTAAACATGCGTTGAAAAAAAGAAAAGTAAACAACAAGTCGAGAAAGAATAATACTCGGTAGCATCTCTTATGTAAATAATGTGTAACGTTATCTGCTTGAATTCTTTATGTTTTAACCATTCTAAAGGCAACAACAGGGGTGATAAGAAGATAAACTGTTTAAGAAAAATGTATGTACTACACAATTGTGTACTATGTACAGCTTTTAAAGATTCATGTCTCCTATTAGCAATATTCTCGCTGTATGCATATATTCATAGGTGCATGCACTTACCTATAGAGGTTGTTATATTTACATATAAACGCAAATAATTGCATATATTTGTATGAATTACTTATCACCAGAAAATCACTTCGCATGATCGCATGAAAAGTTATCCTGAATTCAATAATTATCAACGTTTGTTGAGCGCAGATGATCGACGGGCTGCTGCTATAAGTTTCTCATGAGGCAAATAAACAGATTAATGAGCTTAAGCAGTCATATGCACGTACGTATATATACAATAATTCTACATATATTTCAGTGTCTTCTTGCGTCTCTTGGAGAAACAATTTAAATGTTTGTATACATGTGTGTCTACATGCGCGATCATCTTCAGTCACTCACATGTTTCTTCAACTCAGTAGCGACTGTGGCAGCTCCGAAATGTTTGGGCCGCCTCGTTTCAGAAATGCCGTGTCGATCGGCGGCAACACACGCGAAATTCGGTTGAATAAATTTGTTAAAAGAGGTATTTAAAACTAGTGTACATTTTCAATTCTTTTTTCTTTTTTGGACAAGAAAAATGCAAAAATAAAAGTATTTTATGAAGAAAATATAAACAAACGTGTAGCGGTTTCCAAAATTTCTACATACTCAAATATACAGTGTATTTGTATAGTAGTAAATAACTTGTTACACACGAGTAATGGCAATTGGCGGCAGTGCGCGTCTGGAAATCCACAAAATTCATATTTTTATTTAAAGTGTGTGCGTGTGTGTGTGTTTATAAAAGAAAATGTTTTTTGTGGAATTTTTGCAAATTGTTTAATTTGATGGAATGACAGCATATATTTATATGTATACATAATATTTTGGAACCATAATAATTGAAAAAATTTTAAATTATTTAAAACTTATTAATTAAATAATTTTTTTTTTATTTTTTTAAGCTTTTTCAAGTCATGAAAATGAAATTTAATTAAATTAATTAAACATTTATTATACTCATGAATTTTTATAAATATTTTTGTGCATTTTACGGCCTTCAGTTTTAAGTTATGAAAATTATAATAGTGTGTTATAATTAAATTACTATTACGTAACGTTACGTCTTTAAGAAATATTAGATATATTTAAAAATTTCAATCAATTTTTTTTAAACATTTTATCAAAAAAAAAAGTATTATTTTATTTTATTAAAAAAAAGTATTATTATAGTGCATTTTTTGTATACATAGAAGTAAATAATAAATAAATAAACCAATAAAATACAAATGGCTCTCATATTATACTGCGATGATTTAACACAAGTCCCTCAAAGCCTTAACACGGATATATGCAGTATTAGCACATTCAAATGGCAATTAAGCGTCGTAGTTAGCGTGTTGTTGTTGGTGATTGGCATATACGTTTTAAGGAAGTGGAAATACCGGTAAGAATGTGAAAAAGGTTTTTCTTTAATTGTTTTTTAAATGCTAATATTTTTTATTTAATGAGAAATTAGTGTTTTCAAATTTTTGCATACATATTTACTTACAATATTAAGTCTAATATTTTATATAGTTAGTTTGAGCGAATACGCTGGGTTAATTTTGTTCGAAATCTGTGTCTAGGCGAAACTGTAAGTCTACGTGTTTTGTAACATTGGCGTTATTGAACTTATTTTTAAAATTAGATTTTCCAACGAATCATGATAAATGTAAACAAAATATGTATGTCAGAACAACAACAATAACATTTTCGGTACTCTTGAACTAAATGCAAATTTGATTGCAAATGATTCCAAAATAATCACGGCACTCGTCGAAATACATACGCAATACCATACATAATTATACAAATACATACATATGTACATGAAAAAAAAAATTAATTAATTAATGAAACAAAACAACAATAATAGCTGCATAACTATCTAAATATGTTCGCTTGCATGTAATAAATGTGTTTCATTGTATATACAAACATATTTACAAAAAAATATGTTTTTAATGAAAAATGTGCAGTCATTAATTTACAAACTATTTACTACATTCGTTTACATATGTACCTACATATTTATATATTTACTTTGATGCGGATTTCACGCTTTAAGTATTTTCTCTTTCAATTTTACAGAAATTTCGCAAAAATCGAAAGCTCACGCGTTTTTCTAGCAATAAATAAAAGAATATAATAGAAATAAAGCTAAAAGAGCGCAAACGAATTTTCAACAACTTGCGGAGAAAAACAATGAGCGAGTTTTCCACATTCGTGGAACGTGCGAAGTACATCACACATTTATACACATCCACAAGTAAATACATATGTGTGTTGTCTGCTAAAATAAAAATGGAATAAGAAATTAATAAATATAAACAATGAGCTTAAATTTAGCAAACGTGATTAATATTCTTATAAACAAAACCAAAGCGAAACAAACGTGAAAAGGTGAAATTAAATAAAATTCTTGAAATTTAAGCAATAACGAAAAGTAAAAATGCTTGGAGAATTGTGCAAATGTGTTGTATGAAATTACAAAAAAAAAAAACATGATTGAACATGATGAAATTGTTAACTTCGGCTGCTACCGAAGCTAGAAGCGAATATTCTGCACAGGTGGATTTCACATAGCATACAAGGGTATAAAAAAATCTTTATCTTGATTTTAAAGTCAGTTTGCAAGGAAGCCAGTGGCGTAGCAAAGGGGGGGGGGGGGGAGGCCGTAACGGGTTCAACTTTTTTGGGGTGACATCCACCCGGTCTCTCAAAAATAAAAATCGCTAGCACAAAAATTTATTTTTCGGGGATTCCTCCGTTAGCACTAGCTCAGCTCTATGTATACGGTTACTGATTGGGTGTCTCTAGATTTTTTAAAGTTTAGAATAGAATGGCATTTTACAGAATCTCTTCCAAATCTTATGATTGCCAACGAACACGAGGCAATACAAAATATAAATTTCGATGAAGTTATTGCTGAGTTTGCAGCTGCCAAAGCTAGAAAGAAGAAAATTTTAATTGTATAACAATTCCTTTTTTGTCTTAGTTATTTTTGTGTTTTATTATTTCTTCAACATTATAATTAATAAGTGATCCATGTCCTTTATCATATAACATTTATTGCTTTTTTACTTTCCTTGGGGTGACACCACCAACTTCTGCACCGGATGCCACCCAAGATAGCTAGGCCACTGATGGAAGCTATATGCTGTAGTGGTCCGATATTAGCAATATGTACGGAGATTGTAGCTTTGTCTTGGGCAATAATATAAGTCGAATTTCGTGACGATATTTTGTTAAATAAAAAAGTTTTCTATACAAGAACTTGATTTCGATCGGTCAGTTTGCGTGGCAGCGATATGCTATAATGATCATTTATCGGCAATTCCAACAAATAAGTAGCTCCTTGGGGAGAAAAGTACGTGTGCAAAACTTCACATCGATATCTCAAAAACTGAGAAAAATAGCGTATATACAGACAGCTTGGACATGGCTAGATTTTATAAGGTCTACGACGTTTCATAATCGGTAAACTTAAGCAGTAAATTTCTGAATCGGTAGGGCTTACGAAAATTCAAGTTCTGTAAAGAATGTGATTCGCAGGCTTCGCTCAACTTATGGTCAACATAATCGGCCTACTGAGCGTACTACTATTCGCAACCCCATCACCCATCTTGAGACCCGGCATTCGTTATTGCATAATGTTCGACTGCAGTGAAGAAAATATAGCGTTCGTAGCTGAGAGTGTACACGAAGCAACTCGGACTGACGTATGGAACGACCTGGCGCATTTTACGTCGAGATCTTAAGCGAAAGCGTACAAAATACAGTTTGTTCAAGAACTGAACCCGCTAAACAAGTAGAATTGCCGCATTTGGGATGAAGAGCAACCTGAAGAGATTCAAGAGTTGTCATGGAATCATCGGTTCATATTTCTTCAAAAATGATGCCGGTGAGAACGTAACCGTCAATGGCGACCGTTATCGCGCCATGATAACCGACTAATTGATGCCTGAAATGAAGCTCGTGATCTCGACGACATTTGGTTTTAACAAGACGGCGCATCAATTGGCCACCAAGTTCGTGTGATACCATACCGTTAGAATTTTTTCTGTGCGTACATGTCCGACTGTCATTCGCCAGTTACCAGTCGAAATGCTCGAACAACTCAACGAATGGACCATCTAAAATAGATAATCTTCAAAAAATAAATGCCAAAGAATGCTCTTTTGAATGATAAGAAACCATCCCCATTAAGTTTTAATTTTCTGTGTTTTTTTTTTTAAGTAGGAAACCTCGAAACAGATTATCCAGATCATCCAGATCATGTGAGTTGTCAGATTAATCAAACTACAGCTCTCAGTTCCGCTTTTGGTTCTAAAGATGTGATATATATGACCTATATGATGTGAGGTTGAATTTTGTTGAAATCCTTGGTGTGACCGGCGAACAGTCGAAAAGCTTTACAGGCTATCGTTTACATGTGTCATATTTTTGACTTCTTTGTCAGATTTTCTGCGAACTGTCTTAATTACAATAGCTTAAGATTGGGACTACCGTTCCAAAAATGTGTGGCCTTAGCCATATCAAATGTCTGCGCTTTTTTTTTAGATATGCCCACATACACATATATGTGTGTATTTATGTATGTATGTGTTAGTATTTAGGCCGTGCAAATTTTTCATGACACATTTTTACTATACAGTGTCGAAATTTCCGAGAAACGTGAGTAAATATCGAAAATTTTTAGAACAAAGATGAGATAAAACAGCAGAAATATTAAAAAATATGCGTTTAATTCATGGTATTTCCCATAATTTTTCACATACAATTACATTAGACTTATATGTATGTATTACGTCGGGTCCAGCGGTAGCGAGTCAACCCAGCTGTCAAGTGCCAAATGCTACGACAGCTGCGGGTACAATAGACTCAGACAAGCAGCTACCATCACATTGCTTTATCAATAAAAGCGTTCTGTGATATTAATCAGCGTTTAGTAAACAAAGAAGCACAGATGTACGAAGATACTATATGTATGAGCTACCCAGTAGTAAGTTATCTACTATGAGCACACCATTAATATGACATATTTTACTACCTCCTTCTGACTTGTGGACGCAATTTGCTGATGATAATAATATTTTTTATCTCTGTTTCAATTTCAAACTGAAAAAAGCCAGCGGGAACCAAATCTGGTGAATACGGTGAGGAAGCGCTGATTTTCTTTTTGTCCTTGGCCAAAAGTCAACCACAATCATGCTAGAATGCGACATCGCATTATCGTGGTGAAAAATCTATGAAGTTTTTGTTAACAAATCTGGTCGTTGACGATGAATTTTTTTACGTAGATGTCTCAAAACGCCTGAACTTAACTTTTAGACACCGTGGAACGAATTCGTGGTGAGCCATACCACGATAATCAAAGAAAACGATGCGCATTTCGGCTTATTTTTGGAGCGGCATTCGCTAGAATGTTGGACCGTTTCGAAATTATATTCATAAACCCAACTATCGTCATCAGTAATGCTGCGTTTGATGAATGTGGAGTCACATTTTCAATCATCACTTTTGCGATTTCTTCTCGACGTCGTGGCATCAGATTTAGTTCTTTTGGTACCAGTCTAGATTGACAAGTTTCATACCTAAAGCATGAACCAAAATGTGTTAAGTCGATCAAAAAAAAAATTGTTGGGAATCCGCTGCTATCTCTTTGATGCCAAAACGCCGATTTTCAAGCACTGTTTCTTTCACTTTTTTGATGTTATCGTCATTAACATAGGTGGATGGACGACTCGCATGAGGCAAGTTTTCGATGACTTGTCGACCAACACTGAATGCTTTGTGTCAACCAAATACTAGAGTAAAGAGTAAAGTAAACTCCCCAAAACCATATC